TTCTATTTCTATGCAAATTTCTTGTAGCAGAATTGTTTGCGTGTTTCTCCACCCTAGGGCAAGGAGAGGTTTCTTTCCAATGTCACTGAGGCATCAGCTGGTTTCTGTCCCTTACCATGATCATTAACTTTGTTAGTAACTTTATGACCTGGGTTTGCAAATTGTACTTGTTTGTTGCATCCATGTTCACCTGTGGTGATTTTTAGTTTCATTGTAAAAATATTAACCCTGGGTGGAAATTAGCATAGAAGTTTTTCTTTTTTCTTTTTTTTCAAACTTCCAGGTTTTTAAAACTTGTAATAAAATTGAAACTCGTTGGTTTTTCTATGCCTTTTTGAACTCTTGTAATTGAGTTTTGATCACATTTTATATTAAAGTGGCTAACATGTGGCTACTCTCACTGTGGAAGGCTTTTTTTTTTTTTTTAAGGATTGGCATGTTAATGTATTTGGCGACATTGTTTTTCCTACTAATTGCTGTTTCGTTAAGCCGGAGAAGAAAATGCATCCTTCATTCCCATTCTCTCTACCTTTGTTGTGCCTCAGCGAGATTCTGGAGTTGGTCATAACTGAACTGTCCATGTAGAACTTACTTCGATCCAGAGCCGAAAGGGTAACTTTGCAAAGATGACTTTTTCTGACGGAAGCTTTGTAGCGGGAAACCTGAATTACTTTACACCCATTACGCTGGCTGCATCCAGACCACATTTAGACCACTTTGCTTTTTAGCTCTTGACTCATGACCCGCCTGCCTGATGGCAAGTATTCACGGCACAGGAAGAGAGTGGGTGGGTCACGGAGAGCTTCAGGCTGAGGTGTACATTCATAGAGCTGGTGGAATAGGGAGGTGCTGTAGTCTAGTTCTTAGCTGATTCTGGTTACCAACACCATCTCTTGGCTAAAGGTTTAGTATTGGTTCTTTCAAAAGCCTCAGTGACCTCCACCTTTCCCCATGACTTTCACTGGTGAAAGTGCTTTTTTCTGAGTAGTGTTATCCTCCCACGTCTTTGGGAAGAGCCGAGTGTTGAAATAACGTGGATCTTATCTTCACCAGTGGCACCTGGTAGAGGTGTTCAGAAATGCTTGTGTATAAGAAGGATGGAGCAAAGTGGGGGAGTTCGAGCGTATCAAACATTTCTCAAAAATTGATAAAAATTACAGAATTCTCTGGAGTATTTAGACCTCAGCCTTTTTAGAGGACACTTGATTTCTTGGAAGGTGATGACTGGTTCTGTCCCTTGGTCGTCACATTAACCTCCGGAGAGCTTGGAAATTGGCTTTGGCAGCCTGCTTTCATTTCCTTTAGTTGCTGTGGTCCTTCCTGTGACTTCGCCCTAAACTTATCAAGTGTTAGAAGCAGAGCGTGGTGCAGGCTTTCCCCGTGAGGGGGCGTACACTTAAGATGTGTGGGTCATTGAGGAGACGGCAGATTCCACAGTAGCAAGGGGAGAGACCTCCCCTTGGTAGCCTCGGACAGAATGGGGCTGGCTGGGGTCAGAAGCGGGAGAGCCTGGGTGGGGTCCTGCTGGAGGTGTGGGCTGAGTTCTAAGGAGCCTCTGTTCTTTGGGGTAATAAGCTGTGGAGGTTACTTTTGGGAAGGGAGGAAGGTAAGGAAGAGGCCTGGTCTGTGGGATTTGCCATCCCAGCAAGGAGGTGGTGCTGAAGGAAGCAGGTAGAAGGCTGCCTTTTAAATGATGCCATCATGCTGCTTATCTCGGAACCAAAAACTAAGGTTTTGTAATCTAGACATTTCCCTATCTTTCCTATCTTTGGGAGGATCTGAGAATTCACATTCTTTTTTTCTTGGCTATTTCTGGCCAAGCTAAAACAGTCTGTTAATGCTGTGCTGACCAGCTGAGTTAGCTGCTCCTGTACCTAGAACCCAGAAAGAGCCCATAAGATGACTTAAGGCTTATACAGGGAATTTCTCAGGTTCAAGGCCATGGCCCAGAGGTCTGCCTTTCTGAGAAGCCCCTTCCTCATCCCCAGCATCCCCAAGTGATTTGGGTTCGTGTGGGGCACAGCCTGCATCTTGAGAAACAGGCTCCACGTACAAGGGAGATCTTGGTGTGTAGAGGATGTTTGCCATTCACTTTAGAAGATGCGGTGATCCTGCCCCCAATGCAGTCCCAGGAGCAGAGTTCTGACCTGCGTGGCTGCAGGGAGCGGTGTGGGAACAGGGGCTCCACTTCACAGAGCCTTGAGGTGGTCACGATGGGGCATGTCGGTAAAAAGCGGACCTCAGGCAGCATTGAGGGCTGCCTGTATGAGAAATTCCTGTAACCCAGGGATGGAGACTGATAGGGGTGTGTGTGAAAGATAAACCACTTACTGCAACTCTGCTCTTGGAAAAGCAGTTTTTCCTTGGTGCTTTCATAACCAGTATATTTAAAAATACATATTTTGATTTTGAATTGTCCCTGGGGTGTAATTCCAAGCTCTGTGATCAGCCAACAGGAGCATCTTGCCTCCTGAAACTGTAACTTTACTGATGGGCTTATTCTCAGCATTGGAGAGTTCACTGAATTTTCACCTTTTTAGGGACTGCTTTTAACATCAAACCTTTTAAGTTCATTGTCACTATTGTTAATAGTTGGCAATAATCAGAGCTCTCCTTTAACTATTACTGGTGATTTCTAGTCAAAAATCCATTTGTTTATGCCGTTCCAGGGTTTGCTTCGTTTTGCTTTTGGTCAGTAAGTAGGGTGACTGAGCTGCAGCTGTGAGCAAGATGGGAGGGCCAGAGAGGATTAGGATTGTGAGCGCCTCCACTCCTTGTTGCCAAGTCAAGCAGGTGGAACTGTTCTTTCTTGAATGATGTCTTGACTGTCTCAGCCTCGCCTTGGCAGTTGGACCCAAGGTTAAAGGTGTGTGCCTGAGGTGGGGGCTTTCTGGTGATGGGAGGTACTGTAAGTCAAAGTTTCTCTCAAGTGGGACAGAGAAGCTTTGGAAGTGTCCTGACCTCTTCTGGCCATCTGGGGGTGGGGGTGGGGGGCTGCTGAGGGGTGGACAGGTTTGGTGGTGCTTAAGGGTTTTTCCTGGATGGTTAACATTCAGAAAGAATTCTGGAAAGAGCAAGGCAGCCTTGCCAGGGACAATGCAGGCCTGCTAAAGCATGGTGATTTGGTGCCCCCATGGCTAGATGCTCAGTGATGTGAAATCCAGCCTTAGTCCCGAGAAGCCCTTTGCTTGCTTAGCCCACCTCCCTGCTGCCTTTCCCTTCACCCTTGCAGGCCGGCCTGCCTTGGGATGCTTTCAACCTCTCTCTCTCTCTAGTGTGGTTTAAAAGTGATCTGGGAGATAAAGGGGACTCCCAGCACCCTGCACTTTGATCCAGGAGGCTGGACAGACCTGCCTGTGCCCAGGAATGAACGAACACCAGCTTTTGTTCAGGGCTTGCTGGAAATTCATTTGGATGGGAAGGGGGAGGGAAAATTTGCTTCACATCTTTCCAACTGCCCTAGGCCATCCATGGCCTTCTGGTCACAGCTTGGATTCATCATGGCTTGGATCGTGGTCACCTCGCCAAGAGGTCTTGCTTGGGGGTGCCCTCACCAGGCAGTCACAACTCGCCTGGTTCCCTAAAGGTCCCAGGAAAGGGAGAGTCTTCTTGCTGATGTCAGGGTGCTAGGGGTTACTGGTGAATGCCTGCCAGGATGGGGCAGATGTTCAGCCAAGCCCAGAGGGGTTGGTGCCAGCGAGGAGACTCCAGTACCCCCCTTTCTTGCTTCCTAAGTCAGGCAGACCCTGTGGGTCCCAGGCAGCCACATGGGTCTCCAGTTGTTTCCCCCAAACGTGTCTGGCCCGAGGCAGAGAAGTAAGGGTACCCTCCCTTTATTGGCTTTTCTTGGGTTAGAGAGCTGACCATCCTAAGGGCCACTGAAACTTTGATCTTCTCAGAGTAGCTTTAAGACCTCCTTCAGCCCAGACTGGCCGCCCTCATTCAAAATTCCAGCCTTGCTCCCAAGGGCTTCGGCCTCCATCTTCACCTTAAACAACTGAGGGCTGTTGGCGGAGGCTCCTTACTGCTCTGCGACAGGTGTCGCTTCTGAGCGGGAGTTTGGGCACAGAACGCAGAGCCGCATCACCCCCAGGGGCTCTGCATGTGTTTACACCGGACCCCGCCTGGAGGGGCGTTTTGGAAGAGGGCACGTGGGCGGTGGGAACGTGGTGCCATGGGGTGAGGGAGGAGCCAGCCTGCACGCATTTTTCTGGAGGAGTCAGACCCGGTCTCTAGATCGCCCTTTCCCCAAGTGCAGAACACATTTTTCTTCTCATCTTTCTAAAGGGCCGAGCCGGGTGCGGGACGGCGAGGTTCTCCGGGCACGTGAGCAGAGTGCCGGAGCTCGCGGCTGGCCGCCCACGGGACCCCGCCTCTGCGCCCGTGGGGACCCCGCGGCAGGGCGCCTTCCCGGGCGGCGGGTCCTGCCGGGGCTGCGCGGGGGCGCGTTCCCCGCCTCCCACTGGGCCCGGCTCGCCCGGGTCCCCGCTGCCCGCTCGGCCGTCGGGTCCCTGGGCGCGCGGGCGCCTCGACGGCTCCCCCTGCCGGAGCGCCGGGTGCGCCCCGGGCACCCGGGGCACGGGACTAGTCCCCCAACTTGTTCTCCGCTGTTAACTAGTCGCGCTGCCGGAACGATGGGATGGGGTTGCCACAGCAACAGACTGGACGTCACAATCCGGGCATGTGTGCCGCCCCCCCGCCGTGCCGCCGTGCCGCCGGCGCTGCCGCCGCCACCCTCGGCCGGCTGCGGGACTCGGGCTGCGGGGCGCGGTGGGCGGAGCGGCCCGGGCTTTGCGGGGAGCGGGGCGAAGGCGGCCGAGAGGAAGGGGGTCGAGACGGGGGGGTGGAGGTTTGGGGGGGTGGGGGGGCAGGCGGCCGCCATCTTCTCGCCGAGGCCGCCTCGCCCGCCGCGCGCGCCCGTCCGGCCGCGCACGGGTTAAGGCTGGCACCGCGCCCGGCGGGAGGGGGGGCGCCCACCTCCCCTCCCCCCCGCGCCGGGCATGCGGGGCCCGCTGGGCACCGAGGAGGAGCTGCCGCGGCTGTTCGCGGACGAGATGGAGAACGAGGACGAGATGTCAGGTGAGCGGGGCGCCGGCGGGGCCCGGGGCCGGGCGGCGGGGGGCTCGGGGCCCGGCGGGGCCCGGGGCCGGGCGGCGGCGCGCACGAGAGGCGCCCGGGCCGCGGGGCTGCGCTCCCGCCCTGCTGGCGCCGTGCGGCCAAGGGCGCGGGGCTGGGCGAGCGCCCGAGCGCGGCGCGCGGGCGGCCAAGGGCGGGGTGCGGTCGGGGCCCCCCGGGCCGCCGCGCGGACCAGGCGCCGGCGGAGGAGCGCCGGGGGCTGCGCCGGGCGCCCCGGGCTGGGAGGGGGCGCGGCGCCGCCGGCTCAGCCCCGCGTGCCCTTGAAGGGGGCGGGAATCGCGCTCGGCTCCCGGCGCCGCGCGCCCCGCGCTGTGGACCCGCGCCGCGCGCCCCTGGCCTCGCGGGGGCGGGCGGGACCCGGCCCCCGCCCGTCTCGGCCCCAGGGCGCGCTGGGTGGGGCCCGGAGCGGCTCGAGGACTGGCCGTGCAGGGGGACCCCGCGAGCGCCTTGGCTGGGGCGGCTTCCCTCCAGGCCCGCGAGGGCTCCGGGCCGGGGCGCGCGGGCTCGGACTCCTGCTCCCCTTCCCGGCCGCGGGGTGCTGGGACCGCCTCTCGCAAACACTTTGCCGGGGCCGCCGGCGCCTCCGGCCCGAGATCGCCCGGGGAGTGGCGCTCCCAGCCCATCGAGCTTTGGCCACGGGCCTGACGCCCAGGGCCGCCGCCCCAGCCCCTTGCCGTCCCTCTCAGAATTCAGCATAAACAGGGCTTGTGCATCAGGGGTAACCTTGCAAGGATCATTCTTTAGTTAACTGCTCACCATTTGTTTGGGACGGTTCTCCTCCTGGCACAGCAGGGCAGGGCCTCACCCTGTCAACCAGCCTCCCTCCCTCCCTCCCTCTGGGGGACTCTTCTCAGCTTCCCGGCACCAAGTCTGTGGCCCCTTCCGGGCTCCTGAGAGACTTGTGGGAGGTCCGGGGGCCCTCCCGAGCCCAAGAATATGCTCTCTGGCCCCAGGAGTGCCTTGGAGGGAGGGCGGATGGGGCATTCTGCAGATTGGCACCCCCAACTCCTGTGTGCAGGGGTGAGAGGGGGAGGACCCAACAGGCAGCAGCTCCCCAGGCTGCTCTGAGTCTTCCCGGAGGGGGGATTCCCACCAGGTGGCCCCGCCCACTAGGGGGGCCTCCTCCCCACTTGTTTGCTTGCTTTGACACTGTGACTAGGACTCCTCCAGAGCCTGGCCTCACTCCGCCTTTCAGGCAGTCTGGCCAAGTTTGCAAAGAGCCTGCTCCAGTTAGGGGAGTGGGGGTGAGGTGGCCCCTTATGGGAGGGGTTGCTTGGACAATAGTTGACTGTTAGATCCCTGGGTGCAAGGAATTAGGCCCATTTCCTGGGAGGGAACATAGAGGCCCAGTAGAGACACTGAAACCCATGGCTGTTTTCTATCCAGGAGGCCGGCTCCTCCCTAAGCTGTTCTCTGGCTTCCTCAGGAATTCCCAGTGGTGCTTGGGGCGTGGCCCCTTTGTGGCACTGATGGGGCAGTGGACAGCTGAACATGCATTAACAGGCTTATTTCTGGGTCTTCACTGAACCCCTGATGGGGTCCCCTGTCCACTTGCCCCACCTACTCCAGCTCTGCCTGCCTGTGTCAGGGCTCAGAGCATGGGGAGGGTCGATGGGCACCTGTCTCACTCTATTTGGGCCAGAGGGGTTCAGTCTCTGTCAAAGTCACCTGCTCACTACCTATTCTCCCTGCTTGTGCCCATTGTTCCAGGGCAAGGTGGGGAAGAGAGGTGAGGTTGACCCCAGAGCCTCTGGGAGCAACCCCAAAGCCCTGCAGAGAGGCGGTCCTGCTCCAGCCCCGCTGGTCTGGGGATTGCAGCCTCATCCTTCTGCAAGGCTAGATGTCCTGAGCCTTCCCAAGCTCCCAGCTCCCTCTCCATGTCCCTGCCCCAAGGCTCTGTCCTCTGCCTCTGGTCCACTTCATAGCCTCCTAACGAGACCTCGCTGACCACCCTTCACTCAGTAGCCAGGGTCACCTTTGTCAACACAAATCAGGCCCAGGCTCCCATTGCTTGGATGGATCGAAGAACTCCTATTCTATTCCACCTGCATCTACCCCACCCCACCTTGTTCCCGAACTGCAACCACACTGGCCTCCTTGATGCTTCTGGACCCCCCAAGCTCCAAGCTCCATCCTGCCCTTGAGCACTGGCTGTGACCTCTATCTGACCCCCTCTTTCCCCTGTTCATAGCTGCCTCCTTGCTGTCCTGTAGTTCCAGCCCACACGTCTCCGTGGGGAGGCCCTCCTTACCCTCCTGGCCCAAGCGTGGCCCCAGACCCCCAGGGCCATTTTAGTGCTTTATTTTCTTGGCAACACTTCCTACTCTCGGCAATATTACCGCCAGCTTACTTCTGTGTCTCTGGGCTCCCCCCTCGGATGTGACTCCTTTGATCACCCGCTAGGCCTGGCACCCGGCACGGGGGTACTCAGGAGATGGTTGTGGTCTCCGTGTCTGAAGGCTGGGAGTCCCTAGCTCACCCCTGGCCTCTGGGCACAGTGACAGCTTCAGCCCAGGCCTCGTGTCTCTCCCCAGGTGCTGGCCAGCTGGCCCCCTAGCCCTCCATCACAGCTGCTCTGCGGCCCTCGGCCTGAGCTCATAGCTGTCACCCACTTGGACCTGGGGCCAGCTGGTTCCAAAACAGCGCAGTTTGCGGCCCGAGGAGCTGTTGGGTTGGGAGCGCGCACGCTAATTTTTAAATCTGCAGCAGTTGGACTCGTCTTGTCAAATCTTTCTTTCCATTGTGCCCCACCCTCCCCTCCCCCCAGCAGTGTTCTTCTTCCCCACACTGGGCTCGGTGTGGCCAGCACTCGGCACTGAGGCAGGTGGGCGAGCCTGCTTGGAGGAGGCAGGGTGGGCTCCTGCCTCCCCGGCTCGGGGCCTGGCAACTGCCAAATCCCACTGGGAGTGTGTGTGTGTGTGGGGGGGCTGGTCAACGTGAGGGCTCCAGGCTCGGATGGATCCTGGCTCTGCCGCTTGTTAGCTGACTGGCCCTGGGCACGCTCCCCAGGCCCTCTGCCTCAGTGTCCCCACTGGTGGCATGGGGATATAGCATCCGCTACCTCACAGAGGGTTATTGTGAGGACTAGTGAGACAGTGCCCGTGGAACATTTAGGTCACAGTGCCCAGCACATAATAGGTGCCCAATAAACTGAGTGCTGTAATTGGCACCATCCAACAGGGGCAGTTGACCTGCCTTTCCCAAGGAAATGCTTCTGAGACTTGCACCCTCATCTAGTAAGCTGGGGGGCCTGGGAGCCTGGGCTGGAGGAGGGCTGGGAGTGTGACCCCCGTGCTGGGGCTGGAGGAAGAGAAGGAGGGGCTCAGTGCCCCCCTGGCCTTTTCCTTAAACTTCCCGGACTGGTTGTCCCCAGGCCATCACTTACAGCCAGAGGGCTGGCCTTCCCAGAGCTGGTGATCCTGGCCTCTCACCTGGCCAGGCAGTGTGACCACTCTGACCCCAGAGTCATATGACTGGCCCATGTCCCCCCTGCCCAGAGGACTGGCCCCAGTCATGTGAGCATTTTAGGTTTCCTGGCCCAGGGGCCAGGAGGGAGTGATAGCCGTGATTCTCAAGGTTCACGCCTTCTTAGCTAACCCCACCCCGTGGGGAAACGTGGGTTTTGGGGTTCCCAGGGAGCCTGTATTTAATACTGTTTGCTGGGAAGAGGGAGGCAGAGTCACCAGCATCCTTTGCCCAGTGCTTTGGCCTGTGGGATGGTCACTTCATTCCAGACTGATCTATCATTTCATCAGTTCATTCAGTCACCAAGCCTCCTATGAATCCACTCACCCATGCACCCTCCCACCTAACAGCTCTTCATGCAACCATAAAACCAACCAACCAACCAACCATACACCCACCACTCACCAGCCAGCCATCCTACCCACTCTCCATCTTCCTTCCTTCCTTCCATCCACCCACCTCCCAACATAGATCTGTTGAGTATCTTCTCCAAACCAGGTACAGAACACAGTATGTGGTCTCTAACTTACTGGGGATTTTGCAGGTAAAACTTTTGAGGCTTTCTCCCTTCTCTTTGGCTCTGTCCTTATTTCTCTCTCCCTGTCTCTTTTTCTCACTCTGCCCCCATGTCTGTCCCTCCGTCTGTCTCTTTCCAAGTCTGTCTTCCCTGAGCGTTTGGCTCTGCTTCTCTCTCTCTTTGGCAGTCCCTTGCTTTCCCTCTTTTTCCTCTGTCTCTCCCTGACCCTCAGCTGTGTCTCCCCATCCCCTCCCTCCTTGCTTCTCTTTCCTCCTCCCCACCCATGCTTTGGGTTTGCAGGGGGGCCTGTCCCTGCTTGCCCTAGGTCCCTGTCCTCCTCATCCTCACTCTCTCCCTGGCCTCAGTCCCTTAGGGTAAAAGCCTCACTCTCTCTCCCCCCGTCTCCCACCTGCCTGCCCAGAGTGCTCAGAACTGATGCTTTCTTTGATGAGACGCCAATGAGGTGATGTCTGGGTTTTGTTAATGTCATAAATAAATTACTAATCCTCTCTTGGGCGGGAGTACTGACCCCCCATTATCAGCAGAAGGCCTGTGGTGTAGGGGTGTTCCAAGGACTGATGGGAACCTTCATCTTGGTGCCCCCCTTTGGCCAGCCCTAGAGAGGCCTTGAGAACCCTAGGCTCAGCAGTGTACAAACTGGAGACCCCCACCCTTTGCCACCCTTTGGGGCCCTGGGCTCTACCTGCCATCACCGAGCACTTACTGTGCATCTCACGACTTCTAATTCTCCATCACCCTGTCAGAAAGGCATTGCTAGGCCCATTTGAGGATGAAGAAATAGGCTCACCTGGCAAGGGATTGGGGGCAACCTGCCAGGAAAGGGTGGGGGTTTGAGGTCTGCACTCCCCTGTCCCTCCCTCCTCCTGGCCACCAGGTGATCTTGTCCCCTGCTAGGTGGTGGGTTGGAGGTGGAGAACAGAAGGAGCCTCCTCTCCAAGTCCCAGAGAGGATGGTGGATGTTGGGCTGGGTCCCCATTGTGGGCAGATTGGCCTGCCTTTCTGGACCCTGGCAGTAGGACTCTTGTCCCTGCACCTGGCTTGGGCCCCCAGATCCTTCGACCACCCTCAGACCAGAGGACCTAACTTCTCCCTCCACAATCACATGCTTTCCTTTTGCTCTGATCACCTTGCGTCTGCAAAGCTCCCTGGGGGGCTGTGTTCTTGCCCAGAGGAGGGGGCAGGAGCTAGGCAGAGCAGAACCTGCTCTGGGGCTGAGCATATGGTGGACGAGCCCTCACCCTCTGAGGGACCCTGTGGGACTTTCCAGACCAAGGGCCGGCCTGGGTCACCTTGGTGTCCCAGGGTGAGGCCCGAGCTCAGCACACAGGCCGTGCGTGCTGTTTAAGTGCCTGCTAGGTAAATGTGGGGGGAGGTCTGAATTCTGGGGGGGACCTCGGGTGCCTGGAGAAGGGCAGGGGTGAGGACTACCTGTCCGGGCCCCACCCTGGCTCTGCCACCTGCTGGCTGTGAAGCTACATGGGTAAGTCAGGAGCCCTCTGAGCCTGCTTCCTTCTCTGCAAATGGGGGTGATGGTACCACCTCTCAGGGCTCCCAAGTGGAGTCGATGAACTGATACAAATTAACATCCGCTCTGAGCGCGGCGCAGGTGACGCGTGGGTACTTGCGCTGTGAACAACGCGCTACCCTGAGAGAGACCTGCCCAGCTCCCTGGGGCTGCAGCTTTCAATGGCACAGTGAGGCCAGCCTGGGGGTCCCCCAGGGCAGAGCCGGGGCCTGTTCAGGGAGCCGGGGAGAGGGCTGTGGGTGAGCTCAGGAAGAAGCAGCAGGGGTATCTCTCTTTGCCCCTCTGTCTCCACCCTTCTGTCCCCCTGCCTGTCTCTTGTCTCTGAAGCAGCTCCCCCCGCCCCCTCCCCCCAGCCTGGAAGCTCAGGAGGTAGCGGAGATAACAAGGCTAATGGGTCCTAATTATAGCCCAAGTTGGATCGATGGAGTCTCGGGCCCTGGAGGGGCAGGGCTGGTGCGGGAGGGCACTGCCAGGTGGGCCAGGGGGCTGTGGGGACGGCCAGGAGGGTCTGGGAGCTGGTGGGGCAGGGAGTCCTGGGGCTGCTCTTTCCTGGGACCCTCACCCCAGGGCGAGTGGGATCCCACCTTACCCCTGACTGTGTGCCCTGAGGAGGGGGCACAGGGCTGGGGGCTCTGGAAGCTGCTGAGGGGCCCTGGGCAGGGTTGCTTGGCTGTGAGTCTCCAGGTCTGGTTTTAGAAACTCAGAGGCTGTTGCAGAAGAGGCAGGAGGGGGAGACGGGGCCAGGGTGAAGACAGAGGTGCGGGGGAATCAGGAGGTGCCGGGAGGGTGTGGTGTCACAGAGCTCAGCCCTGGGGTGTCCTCAGAGGCTCCCAGGATCCGTGCAGGGACAAGAAGGGTCTGTCAGAGATGGGGAGTGGGCAGGTCCTCACCCCTGCCCTTCTCCAGGCACCCGAGGTCCCCCCCAGAATTCAGACCTCCCCCCACATTTACCTAGCAGGCACTTAAACAGCACGCACGGCCTGTGTGCTGAGCTCGGGCCTCACCCTGGGACACCAAGGTGACCCAGGCCGGCCCTTGGTCTGGAAAGTCCCACAGGGTCCCTCAGAGGGTGAGGGCTCGTCCACCATATGCTCAGCCCCAGAGAAGGCCATGAGGTCTTCTGGGAATGGAGGGGGGGCTCTGTCCATGGGCAGAGGGTCTGGGGCTTTATCCTCTGAGGCTCGTTCTGGGCGTGGATTAGGGCTAGAGTGTGGGGCATCCCCTGACCCCCTGCCCTCTGCTCCAGGCAGATAACCTCCCGTAGCCACCTGTCCATCCCCTTGTGTGCTGTGCTGGCCAGTCGGTCTGTCGTTGACCATGTGCTCAGCTGGCCTTCCCAATCTGGGGGACTGCCCCGCTGGGGGGACAGGGGATTCGGGGAGGTGGCAGGAGGGAGAGGGCCCCTCCCGATTGCAGCAGCCCGAGCCTCTTATATAATCGGAGCTGGGCATTGCCAGGGAGCAGGGGTGGCTCTGCCCAAGCAGTCTCCCTGTGGCTCTGGGGGAGGTGGAGGCAGGGGTGGGGGTTGGCAGGTGTGGACGGACAGCTCCGTCACCACCTCCGGGCCCCGCCACTCCAGGATGACTCTGGGGGTCCCCGTGCATGTTTTCAACTGGTCTGAAAAATCCCTGCCCCTCCCGTGCGAGGGCTAAGAGGAACAGGACAGGACAAGGTTAGCTCAGCCTGGCTCCGCTCAAGACCTGGCCCGCATTAAACTCAGCTTTGGGCTGCCCCCGCCCCGCCACTCGGCCCTGTGTGCCATAGCCCGGGCCAAGGTCTGGCAGCTGTGACCCCCATGCCAGCCAGGATCACTGAGCTGGCCACCTCTGCAGCAGCTCCCGGTCCTGCCGGGAGTCCCTTTCCATACCTGTGTTTGCCCAGCAGGATGGGGAGGGGACTGGGACTTGGGCATGCCCTGCTGCCTAACCCCACGGACTCCTAGGGGGCTGTACAACACCCCCCCTTTAGGGGGCCTCGGGGCCTCTGGGTGCCCAGACAGTGGTGCCCCTGGTAGGGAGGTGGTACGAGGGGGAACCGGCCATGTAGGGCTCTGGGGTGTGGCCACCGGGTCACCAGCGCCCTCTAGCTGCACCCAGAGTGAGGCGATGGGAGCCACATGAGCCTGGGGACTCCAGGGGACAGGGGCCCCAGGCAGGGCATGAGGGGGACCTGTGTGGAGGACAGGAGGCCGGATGTTGGTGTGTGCACATGCGTGTCTGAGCACCTGCGGTGGGCATGTCTGCACTGAGCTGTTGTCCGGCTGACACGGTCAGCAACAGCCGTGTGTGTGGTGGTGGGCTTCCTGCGCCAGGTGGGTGGGAGCTCTGTTTCTTTGAACTTGATTCAGTAGGGACGCCCTTCCCCCTTTCCCGATGAAAGTCTCCTGGGCACCCTCCTCAGGGTCGCGGGGTGGCAGACCCGCTCAGGCGGAGATTCCCTGTTATGTGTTCCCCCAGCCCCCGCAGGGGTGGAACCCCCGTTGGCTCTTCTCTTTGCTCCCCTGGGCACAGGGGCGGTGGCATGAAGCTCGAAGCCAGTTGCTTCTTCCAAGACAGTCCTGTTGCACACTCACACCTGTCCCGCTCCCCTTTGGTCTTGGCCTTTTAAATTCATGAAGGAGGGAGGGGAGCTCGGGACTCGTGGCCGCTTTTGGAAACCCACGTGTGGCGGATGCAGCATCTCTGTGGAATTTCACATCTTCCTGGGTGCCCAGCCGGAATGGGTTTGGCATCCTGCGTGTGTGACTGGGGGTGAGTGTACCGTGTGGGTGTGTGTGCGGTTCGGGCGGGAGAGGCCATGTGGTCTCTGATCCCCAGTAAGGGGGGAGCCTGGCGTCCTTGTTGGTCTCCCTCCAACCGCCCCCCCCCCCCCCCCCCCCCGCCGTGTGGCTCCTTGTGGTCCTGGGTGATGTGACCCATGCGTCCCCATCCGCCTGCGTTCACAAGCCATCTCCCCACCACGCTCTGGGCCTCCGGAGGGCAGAAATGGGCTCCGACCCTTCCCTGGAGCCCTCCAGAGATGGCTTGGTGAATCAGTGCAGCTGCTTCCTCTCCGGGGGAGCCACGTCCATGAGGACTCTTCATTAGCTGTTCGCTTTGGCTCAGAACATTGTTTCCGAGCACCGTCCTGTCAGGGTGGGTGGTTATTGTCCCATTTTACAGCAAGGGGAGGAAAGGCCCAGGGAAGTGGGGGCCTGGGACACCACCCGCCTGAGCTGGGACTCCACTCACCGGGTCTGGGCTGGTGGCTCTGAGGGCTTGGGAGGAGGCCGGGGCCCTGTGTGCAGGGAAGGGGGTGTGGAGGAGGCAGGTGGAGGCCTGCGGGGCTGGCTGCCCCACTGGGAGCCTCCCTGAGGGAAGTGGCAGAGTCATCCCCTCCCACTTCTGCCTCCTCCAGAAGAAGAAGATGGGGGCCTTGGAGGCTTTGATGACTATTTCCCTGAGGAGCCCGTGGGCCTTCCCAAGAAGAAGAAATCCAAGAAGCTCAAGGAGAACCGGTCTAAAGGGAAGCGGAAGAAGAAAGAGGTGCGTGGGGGGGCCCTGCTGGGGTCGGGCCAGTGGGGGGAGGGGGGTCAGGGCCCCGAGGGGTCTTGGCTGCTCTGCTTGGGCCTGCGGGGAAAGGTCCCAGCTGCCCAGGGGGGGTGTCCTGAGAGCCGGGTTCAAGTGCGAGACTCCAAAAGCGGCCTGTACAGACTTTGTGCGTCAGATCAGAAATGCCCTGTCCTCTTAAGCGGGACATTCTAGCGTCGTTTATCTTTATGCCACAGAGCATAGATAGTTCGGGGCAGGCAGAAGCCCGCGATGCAGACACAGACCTTCTGGTTGAGGCTTTGACGTGTCGTCCTCACCTCCCAAGACCTGAGGCTCTGTGGACATTGTGGGGGGACGTGGAGTCTAGGATCCTGGGGCCTTGTGCTGTACCCTGTGCCGAGGGCAGGAGCTCCCAGCACAGCCCCCACTCCAAGCGTTTCTCTCTGGCAACTGCTTTCACGGGCACTGGACCTGGATGGGACACCCAGTGCGCTCTAGTCCTTGGTCTCAGGCCTTCCGGCAGGCTCCACCCAGTTCCCAGATGCAGATGAAGGACCACCAGGGGTGCCCCAGGCAGGGCTGAATGCTCTCGCTCCTTCCTGGGCACACAGTGCAGCAGGACCCTCCCCTCCCCACCCTGCCCTGGCCAGGTAGGAGGCTAGAGGTGGGCTGTGTCTGTAGAGTGGTGTGGCTGGGGCTGGGGGGGCATGGGTTCACGGCTGGGAGGTCATGGGTTCACGGCTGGGAGGGCCAGTGGTGTCCAAAGCCTGGGACGGCTGGTGCTTGCCTCCCCTCTACCCAGTGCCAGGCTCACTCAGGTCCCACCCCTCCCTTCTTCCCCGGGGACCTACCTGAGGATGTGTGTGTTTGTCTGGGCCCCTCTCTGTGTCTCCCTCTGCTGTTTTGGCCGGAGCTTGGCCTCTGCCTCAGCCACCCCTAGCTCCCTTACTCTCTCCCCTCCTCCTCTCCATTTCTCCTTCCCCTCCAGCCTCATTTCCAACCTCCACCTTCTTCCCTCCCCTCACTTGCTCACCCCCTCTCCTTCCTTCGGCTTCTCACTAGGGATGGAGGGCCGGGTGGATGGGAGGCTTGCAGATGACTGGGTGCTACCTGGCAGGCCCCCAAGGTGACCCTTAGGTCATTGCTGCCCCATCCCCTGTACTCCTGAGAGCCTGGCTTGGCCAGCTGTCAGATCTTAGAGGGTTTGGAGGGGGCTGTAGCCAGAGAGCAGCATCTTGGCCCCCAGCCCCCACCCGTCCGTCTGCGCCTACCTGGGTCCCCAGGTCATGGGGAGGGGGATTTCACCCTGTGCCCCCCATCATCTCCAACCAGGTGGCCCCAAGATAAGGCGGTGGGTGGTGGCAGAAGAGGGGCTGCGGGGTTTTTTTTGGCGGGGTGGGGTTGGGGGTGGGGACAGGCAGCAAGTCGCAGATCATGATTTACATAAAACAACCGGGCTGTGGCCAGAACCTGAGCATATGTAGATGAAGCTCCTTGTCAGGCCCAGCGCAGGAGGGAGAAATGATTTCAACCTGTACGGCGCGGTTACCATAGCAACCAATTATTCAGTGCTAAATTATAACTGTTTATAACACTCGTGAATGGGAAGGCTCATATTTCATTCTTTCTTTTTCCCTCTCAATCTTGAAGGACCCCAAATTGAGAATGACCAACTCTCTGAATCCTCCCTTTTGAGTGTAAATGCCTCCTTTATCGGGAGATGCGGTGTGTGTTGAGCGCTGGGTGCAGAGGGAAGGGAGAGAGAGATGGGAGGCCCTGATAAAAGGCATCCGCAGAGCTGGGGAGGAGGAAGGGTGGGCAGGGACTGTCCACTTGGGGTCCCTGGGGCCTGCATTGGTGGCATGCTCTGGCCTCAGTGGGCCGGGGGTCAGGGCAGAGAGCCCTCCCTCTTACCCCCAGCTCCGCACACATGAAGCCTGGGCGTGGTGTTTGAGGCAGCAGATGGATTCGGTTAGGGACTCGGAGTCCACTAAGACTCTTTGACCACGAGATGCCTCCCCTGCAGTCACGCCTGGGGCGGCCACAGCCCAAAGGACAGCATCAAGGTCAAAGCCCCGACGTGTTCATAGCCTGTGGCGTGGCTTGGGGCTGAGGTTGGTTCAGGGCTTTATTAGGACGGTGTTGCTCTGTGTGTGTGTCTCCTTCCCTGAACGTGGCTTGGCCCCAGACCCCTTCTATAAGTTCCAAGATACTGAACCGGCTGATCTACCCCTGGTTCTCGGTCATTCTTTCCTTCTCGCCACTGGCTGGTGCTGCATCCCTCCAGGTCCTGCTCCTGGGTCACTCCTCTTCATGTCGTTTTTACAACCACTTGCTGCCCTTCCCCTTGCCCCTTGCTCTGCAAGGAAAGATTTTGGGGAGAGAAAAAAGGAGGCCCGGGTCTTGAAGGGTCCAAACAGCTGGATGCAGAGATACGCTGTGGATACCGGCTTATGATGCCGGTGGGAAACCAATCTCCAAAGACCAGTCCTGCACCCCCACCCCATCCCGAGCAGCCAGGAGGGCTGCGATGAGATCGGGTTGCAGGTGGGGGTGGGCCCAGGCAGTGTGAACTTCATTTGCTGGGGTGGGTGGAGAAGGCTCTGCTGGAGAGGATCAAGGAACAGGTGGTGAGTTGGGAGAAATGGGGATTCAGAGCTTTCTTTCTGACAAGGCTTTCCCTGAGGCAGGCAGGCAGTGGAGGGAGAAGTCTCCCCTGTCCCTAGAATGAGGGGCTGCCACCCCTGCCATCTCCTAGGGGGCCACTGGAGCACCAGTGAGTGGTGGATGTGCCCCGTGGTATCTCTCACTCATTCCTTGAGGAGGGTCTTGGCCCCCCTGCTCTGCCATTAGCCCTGGAATGGACACTGGTCCAGCCCTCCGGCAGGCTCAGTTTGGGGCCTTTCTCCAGGCCTGGCATCCATGTTACACACACAGACAGTGAAATCTGCTGGAGGTGCCCTCCTGTCCCTCCCTCCAACTCCCTCTGGGCCCTATTGCTGTGCCGGCTGCTTCTCACCTTTCCTGCGCTTGGGACACGGCAATGCCTACTTCCCGTCAGATGCCCAGGTCAGTCCTCCCTCAGGTGTTGCCCCACAACAGCCTCTTCCGTCAGCTGCAGGTTGCCCAGCTGCACTGTAGGTGACACCCAGCTGCGGGCACAGTCTCTGCTGTTGACTTAGCCTGGTCCTGATTTGCAGAAACGAGAAGGGTGAGGCTGGTGAGGTCCTTAAGTCTGTCGTCTGGCCTGCATCTTTGTCTTCCAAGCAGAGTTGGGGTCAGGGGTGCTTGGGTCTCTCCCATTTCAGAATGTATGCAGCCTCCTCTCACACCATCTCCTTTGTGCCTCTTGCCACCCTTTGTTGAATCCCCCATTTCACAGATGAGGAGGCTGAGGGCAGGCCCTAGTGACTTGCCTGGTTCCAGGCTGGCAAGGGACAGAGCTCCTAGGCCATTCTGTGTCCTGCAGACTCCCTAGGGAGCCCCAGGACCCACAGCCAGTCCACTCGAGTCTCAGCCGAGTGGGTATCGGGCATGGGTCGTCCTGCCTCATTCCCAGTTTGGTGTGCGGGGTCCACCCCAGGGCAGCTTGAGGGCCAGCCCCATGCCCCTCCCTCCGGCCGCCCACAGCCTCTGTCCGAGGTGCTGAAATTCATGGCCGCCTCCTTCTCCCATCCTTACCTTTGCTGGGGTGAGGGCTGGGGTAAAGCCTGCCTCTCAGGTCTCTTCAAGGGTGGTCTCTTGAAACTGGCCGAACGCTACACCCGCGGGGAAAACAGATGTCCCTGTCTGACCCCTGCCCCCCCAGAGGACTGTAGCAGAGCTGGGAGCTGTGGCCCCAGGGCTCTGCATTGGCATCTGCCCTGGAAGCAGGAGCCCTCGCTAGGCTGTCCTGCCCCAGGCAGGTTCCAGCGGCAGCCAGGACCAGCTTCGCCCCTGGGGCTCTGCAAAGCGAATCAGTATTCCGGGAAACACCCAGTTCCGGAAAGGCGCAGAGGCCCTGCTGTCTGCCAACGGCCAGCCAGCACACTGACTCAGCGGCTTAATGAGCATAAAAGGTTTGGGAGCAGAGAGCCCGGTGGGAGACAGTCGGGAAGTGCAGGGAGCCCGTGGGGGAGTCCTTTCCCAGCTGTATCTTGGGAAGAGCCTCTCTCCTGGGGAAAGACACTCAACTCTTTACAGTGTGCCTGGAAAGGGCAGAGATCCGGTGGGGCCCAAGAGCCTCCAGACAGACCCGCTGCCCTTGCTTCCCCCTTCCCTTCTCCCACCTGCTCTCCTCTTTCCCCTCCCCCATCCTGCCCCTTCCCTACGTCCTCTTCAGCGTTCTTCCCCCTGCCTCCCAGTGCTGTTTCCCAAGCTCATTTTACACCTCTCCAGTTCTCTGTCATTTCCGTGCTTCTCTTAGCTCACCTTGAAAACAGTCAACAGCCAGCTCTAAAATGCCAAGCCCCGTGCTGGTAATTGGAGCCTCAGGGCCCAGCCTCTCCGCAGACCCAGGCCCGGAGGGGGCTGGGAAGGGCTCTGCCAGTCCACTTGCATCTGGAGAGGCGGAGAGTAAACAAACAGCTTCCTTGGAGGGGCAGTGTATTTGTGGTGGGGATGATCTGGCTGTGAACGCCCTTATCTCCATAGAAATGGGCCATTTGCTGCCTGTACAGACGGGAAACTAAATCAAGGAAGCCAAGCTTAAGAGCTGCCTAAATTACCTTGTCTCCTCTCGAGACGAAGTGGCGGGGTGGGGGTGGTGGAGAAGGTGGGCTTGGGCCGTAGAAGCTTCTGGAGGGCCCACAGACAGATGAAACTGGGACATGCAGTCTACAGTAATTACAGGTTTCGCTCGACAGGTGCGGCTCCATGGGGTGCACAGGTCTGCACAGAGGTCGGGCGCTGGCTCACACCCCTGGCGCTTTGCCCACCCGTTTGCCTGGGGTTTTCCCCTGCACTTTGTTTTTTGGCTCCAGACATCACGTCCTGCACAAATTCCCGGGTCCCAGCGCTCTCCCGTCACACTGGTTAAAATCCTCAAGTCCTTAGAAACCTAATTCTGATTCAAGCAGAGCCTGAGCCTCACCCCGGGGCTCTCTAGGCTGGCTGCACCAAACTGGAGGCCCAGCCATCGGGGACGGGACCCTTGCCCAGTGCTGGCTCGGGGCAGCCCCTCGGGCTGGGCTTGTGATGGGCTGTGAGCAGCCGAACGCTGAATGATCCGGAAAGCATGGGCTGACTGTCTGTGCCAGGGGGCCGTGGAGGGCAGTCCTGCCACCCAGGACTCGGTTTTCTTCAGGCCCCTGTTGCCCTGACCATCCTCCTTTCTCTTCCAGGGGAGCAATGATGAGCTGTCAGAAAATGAAGAGGATCTGGAAGAGAAGTCGGAGAGTGAGGGCAGTGACTACTCCCCTAATAAAAAGAAGAAGAAAAAGCTCAAGGACAAGAAGGAGAAAAAAGCCAAGCGAAAAAGGAAGGATGATGACGAGGATGATAATGACGACGGGTGTCTAAAGGTAAAACCCTGAGGCCCGGTGGAAGGGGCCTGGGCTCCAGCAGGATGCCCGGCATGGATGGGCCAAGGCTTCCAGTCGGTTCTCTGCTTTCTGACCCGGGATCCCCTGCGAGCAAAGGGCCAGAGCATCCTTCCCTCGCCCCGTGTGTGTGTGTGTGTGGCTGCCGGGGGCAGGTGGGCCTGTGGGCATGAGCGTGGATGCAAGTGTGCAAGGAACACCGTGCCCAAGTCCTGGAGACGCATTTGAAATAACGATGGATGACATTTAGGAGTTTGGGGGGCATGTGGAGTGGCCTCTTGCTGATGTATTTTCTGCTCCTCTCCTGGAGCGCACAGCTCTGTCTGAGGAGAGTGGTGTTCTGGCTCAAGTTTCGGGTCAGGAGCACTCTGGGAGAATAAACCAGCAAATGGAACCTCTGACAGCAAGAAGCGGCCAGACAACTCTGCTTCCGGCAGAAGGGGAACTTTGTTACTCCGCGTGTATTCTGAATTTCTGGCCGCTTGGCCATCCAAGAGGGTGTCCCATGAGCAAGAGTCAGGGCAGCTACGTGGAGGGGCCTGCAGCTCTCCCTGGGGGAAAGCGGCTTCTCTGTGCGTGTGTGGCATGATGCGAAGCAGGTCGAGGCCCCTGGGGTCTCAGAGCCACTGCAGGGCTCCTCGGGGAGGGGACGGGCCCTGGGCCCAGCTCTTGGGCAGCGGCAGATGTCAGTGAGTCGGCATGGCCCCCAAGCTCAGGTTGGGCTAGCGGTGGGTTTAAAGATAAGGACTCCGTAAATATCGGTCCTGCTGGGTGAGGCAGAAATGGTGGCCGTCAGCGGCTGAAGTCAGGAAGCACCGTGGTGTCCCGACACCCAGAGGGATTTCATTAGCCAGCACGTGTGTTGTGAGTCATCTGTGACTGATCATAGCTGAGGGCTGACAGCTTGCAGGATGGACTTGTGGGCACAATCCAGGGTTCTCCCACGGCACTGTTACCCCCTCAGGCTCACATTGCTCTGCTTCCTGCTGAGAGCAAGGTCCGAGGGGCCTCCAGGAATGGCTGCGTGTCGTGGGGGCAGTTGGGCCATGGGAGGGCGTCCCACAGTGGGGGCCCCGCTGACCAGTCACAGAGAACGGGCGTCCGGAGAGCGCTGGGCAGGCAGGCCTGGTTCTCAGTTCCCGGGACCGAGGGAGGCTGTATGCACCTCCCGGGTGGTCTTCTTTTGTGGGGGCAGACAGCCCAGCTCCAAGGGGCTTCAGCAGTGATGGGGTTTGCTGGATCGGTGGCCCGGGAGTTGAGAGGCCAGGGGGCTTCCAGCTTGGGGTGTCACCTAGGGCCTGTGTCTTCACATCCTTCACCCTGCCCGTGGGGGGTCAGCTCCCAGCTCAGGCCAGGCACCCTCGTGGCTGAGAATGGGTGTCACTGCAGCTCTGGGCTTCTTGGCCACCCACGGCGCCCTCCAGCAGCTGGGAAAGCAGGCCTGAGTCCTCGCACATTGTCCACATGGGAGACCCAGTGGCACCGGGCCAATGACTGCTCCTGGGTGTGGCGAGTGCTGATTGGCTGAATGGGTCAGTGGGTGGGGCTGGGGCAGGGCTGCCTGGAACCAGGGCCACCGAGGGCAGGAGCGGCCCTGTTCCAAGCACTTGTGCTAACTTGTTCCCTCCTGGGAGGCAGGTGCTGTTATCCCGTTCTACAGACGAGGAAACAGGCATAGGGGGGTGAAGTAGCTTGTCCACCTGTCGCTGCCCATGTAGGGTAGAGCTGGGATTAGAATCAGGGTCTGTCTGGCTCTAGAGGCCAAGCTCGTAGCCGCACCCCCACCCTCACCCACCTCAGCCGGCCCGGCTGTCTGGAGAGCTCGCTGTGTGCCCTTGGGGAGTCACACGCCTCCTCGGGCCTCAGTGCCCCATCTGGAAAGCGAGCAGTAGCCAAGGGACCCTCTCACGTGTCTGCCTTCAGCTGGGCCCTTGTCCCATGCCCCCACCCTGGCCCTGGAAGCAGGGGAGCATCAGCCTGTCATTTCATGGGGTCCATGCGTGACTCTACCAGGGACATGTGGAGGCAGCCTCATTTCTCCCCAGCATGCCTCAGGCAGCCCTTCAGCCCTGCTGCCTCCCCAGGGACAGCTGCCCTTTAGGCTAGGCCTGCAGGCTGCTCTTCTGGCCTGGTGCCCAAATTCCCAGAACACATTCCTCCCAGAGAATGAGTTCTGTTACTGCTTCTGCCCTGGGTGTGCACAGAGCCTCCCCCCCAGAGCCCCTACACTAAACCCCCAGGCTTGGCCCTGCACCCCCTCATGAGCTGGTGCCTGAACCATTCCCACTGATGAAGGGGGGGTGGGCTGGGAAGCGGAGGGTGGGTAGGAACTGCAGACACAGCCTCCCCACCCATTCTGAGACCTCCTGGGTGGGGGCTCTGGGGGTGGGGGTGCATGTCAGAAGGACTCTGCGCTGACCCCCACCTCTGGCCTGGGTGTCCCTAGGAGCCCAAGTCCTCGGGGCAGCTGATGGCCGAGTGGGGCCTGGATGACGTGGAGTACCTGTTCTCGGAGGCAGACTACCACACGCTGACCAACTACAAGGCCTTCAGCCAGTTCCTCAGGTGGGCCACACTGCCAGCCACCGTGGCCAGCGTCCATGGGAACTGCCAAGCTGGGGGACCCCAGGCTTCTGGGGTGCAGGGGGGCCATCAGGCTGACGCCAACCCTGGGCAGAACCCCTTTCATTTTTAACAGATGGTCTGGCCTTCTCTTGCTTGCCCCGAGCCCCGGGATGGTGGTCCTGGTCAATCCCCAGGGCCTTAAGCCCTCATGGCCTGTCTCAGCTCTGGAAGAAATGGGGCCGGACACCCAGTGGCCCACGGGAGGCTCTTCCCCCTGGTCCCTCAGGTGGTACAGGGTCTGGAAACCCAACTAGAAGATTGCCAACCACATAAATAGGGAATCAGGAGTGTTTGGGTGTGGACTGGAGTCTCAGGCTGTGTCCTCTCCCCTGCGCCCTGCCTCGCTTTCTGCTCAGTTTTCCCAGCCTGGAACATGGGAGCATGGGAGAAGAAGGGGGTGCCTGGGTCCTCGGGGGGGTCTCATCCCCTCCACGGCGGTGCTTTCATCCCACACAGGCCGCTCATTGCCAAGAAGAACCCGAAGATCCCCATGTCCAAAATGATGACCGTTCTGGGAGCCAAGTGGCGGGAGTTCAGCGCCAACAACCCTTTCAAGGGGAGCTCAGCAGCAGCAGCTGCAGCGGCGGTGGCCGCGGCCGTGGAGACCGTCACCATCGCCCCTCCGCTGGCCGTCAGCCCCCAGCAGGCACCCCAGCCTGTACCTATCCGCAAGGCCAAGACCAAGGAGGGCAAGGGTAAGGCTGTGGGGGGTGGGCACCCAGCCCTGCTGGCAGAGTCGCAGCCCAGACCCTATAGCCTCGGGCAGCGGGGACAGGCTTTACCAAGGACCCAGTGCCTTGGTTGACCTTGGACCCCCTCGCCCTTTCTCAGCTGTATTGTGGCTTCGTAGCTTCTGTCCCGCTTCCCCTTTGGGGGCTGGGGTGAAACAGGAGACTGTGCTCGGAGCTTTGGGACTCTTGCACCTGGCCCCCTCCGACTTGGCATGCAGGGAGGGGCAGGGGAGGCCCATGCTGCTGGGAGTCCGGGGGCTCTTGAGTTTGAGCAGAAGGGTTCCAAGGTTAGCCCACTGACCCCTCTTGTCTGGGTACCCAGCCCTCGGGGTAATGGACGTGCATGAGTGTGGTGGTGGTCAGGGCCGGCTTCCCTGGGAGGAAGCACCTGACGAAATCGGACTCAGTGGTGGGTGTCTGGTGTCTGGGGGAGAATAGGGACAGCAGAGGCTCTCTGTGACTTCAAGTCCCCTGGGGAGGGACCTTGCCTAGGTGGAGGATTTCTGGCCCCATTGGGGTAGAGACATGCATCTCCCCAGGGTGCTCAAAGGTGGGGTTGCCAGCAGCTCAGCCTTTCTGGGTACTGATTGGATTCTGATGGGGGGCTCTGGGGGCTCTGGGGACCCATTGTTGCAGCCCCAAGGAGCTTTGGTTTCTGGAATGATGTACCCCTTTCCAGGTCTCTGCGGGGGCCCGGTGAGCAGAGTGACATGGGGTTTAGAGCCTACTCCTGCTCTCCTTCCTCGCCGTCCCCTGTCCTGGGCCTCCCCAGCCTACCTTGCTTTCTCATTTCCTCTTGGGCTCTAGCCGTTGAGCTATTGATTCCCTGAGCTGCCCATTCAGAGCCTGAAAAATTGAAATAGATTTTCCGTGGCGCCACAGAGGTTACAGCTGGGCTCCCAGCCCCATCTGTGTGTGATACGGCTGGAGGAGGGCCCGGGGCAAGGCCACGTGCCACCAGGGCCCCATCTTCCCTGCTCAGCCCGGTGGGAGAGGCTGCTGAGGGGTCATTTCTCCCCAGGTGGCTAATTGTCCTGTGGCTGTCTCCAAAAAAACAGCCTCAACCCTGCTGGCCACCTGGGAGCTGGTGTTTGTGGTGGGTGATGGGCACAGGTTGGGGGCAGTCTTGAGTGGTGCCAGCGTTGCCTGGGCCCGGGGATGACCTGGAGGCTGGCGGCTGGGGAAAGGCCTTCTTGCCCTCCAGGGCCCAGGTCTGGACCACAGAGGGGTGGGTGTGCCCTTGGTGGCCCTGCTGGCCACCGGGGCCCATGGCTTCATTGGGGACAGCTCTTTTCGGGGGAGTTGGGATAGGGCAGGGCTGTCCCCAAGATGGCTGGCAGTTCCGCCATTCATGGAACCAGGGCACTGGTGGCCGGAGCAGAGACGGAGTGGGGGCTACTTGCTGGCTCCCCCTTGCTTGCTGTGTCACTCTTATGCAAGGACTCACTGCTCAGCCTTCTCATCTGGAAAGGGGCGGTGGCAGAGCGACCCTTCCCTTGTGTAGTCCCTGGGGGGCTGACTGAAATCATGGCACTGGGCGAGCGAGCCGCGGCAGGTGTGGATTATCCACCGTCACTTTGCAGGGCCAGGAGTGAGGAAGAAGATCAAAGGGTCCAAGGATGCGAAGAAGAAGGGCAAGGGGAGAAAGGTAGCCGGGCTCAAGTTCCGCTTTGGAGGGATCAGCAACAAGAGGAAGAAAGGCTCCTCGGTGAGTGTGTGTGTGTGTGTGTGTGAGAAGGTGGACTGGAATGTGTGTGAGCGTGAATGGGAATGTGGATTTGTGAGCGTAAGTGTAGGAGTGTATAAATGTGTGAGTGGACTGGAATGTGTGTGAGCATGAGTGTGTGTGAATAGGAGCATGTGTATTTGTGAACATGAGTGTGAGTGTGTAAATGTGAGTGGACTGGAATGTGTGTGAGCATGAGTGTGTATGAATGGGAATGCATGTATCTGTGAGCATGAGTGTGTGAGTGTATAAATGTGTGAGTGTGTGATAGGGTGGACTGGGATATGTGAGTGTGAGAGACAGAGAGACCACATGTACTTGGCCATGTGCGTGGGTGTGTGAGCAGCCTTCAGATGCATTCTGCATGTGTGTGAACGTGTGTGTGCACGTGTGTGCCATGTGAAGGCAGGGTGACTGGAATGCAAGGCTGTTAGTCCACTCTCCTGAATCAGGACTCTGGGCAGGGAGCTCCCCTGTCTACCTTGCTGGACTGAGGGCTCAGTTCTGGCTCTGCTCCATCTGGGTAGCAGGTGGGAGAGTCAGCTGGCCCTTAAGAGTCCTGATGGGGCCTGCATGACCAGGTCTGCTGGGAGGCTGGGCCTCAGGAAGGTGGCATGTAGGCAGGATCAGGCTGGGCTGGAGCTCTGACCCTCCCTTGCCCTTCCAGGGCCAGCTCTGGCACCAGGTTCAGACTGACCCTAAGTCCCCATCTGAGCCTTTGGCCCTCCCTTCTCTATGGGGAGGGGAGCATTCATACCCTCCCCCATCCCCACAGGGCACCTGTTTCCCATACCTTGCCCCATCTCTGTAGAGGGGCAGAGTTGGAAGCCATTTCTTTGTCCCTTGGTAGAGGCAAATGACAGGATTTGAGTTTAGCTGCTCCAGAGGGGAGCACGGAGCAGCAGGTGTGACCCAGCTCAGCAAATATTTGTTGAGCACATTTTTGTGTGCTTGGCTCTCGGCTCAGCCACGGTGGGCCCTGCTCCGGAGGTGTTCACAGTCTGGAGGGTGTTTGGGAGATACACTGGGAGAGAGCTAATGACAGGCAGATGGGACAGACCAGACCTGGCACACAGGCTGTGCAACAGGTCCAGTTAAGGAGAAATCTGGGAAGGCTCCTTGGAGGAGGTGTTTAGGGCTTTTCCTTGAGGAGGTGTAGGAGTTTGGCAGGGTGGAGAGCAGGGCCGGGGGGAAAGGTATGGGAAATGTGGGTTGTGTCTGAGGGCTGGAGAGCAGGGCTTGGGGAAGGTGGTAGGACATCAGGCTAGACTGGTGGGTGGGACCTTTGGGGTTTCTAACCAGGTGGAGATGAGATGAACCACAGAGAACACCGTGCCTCTGGAGCCTCCATCATGCCCTGCCCTACCCCATCCTCTGCCCAAGCCAGTGAGGCCCTTGGGATGAGCCCCCAGGGCGGGCTCTAGACTCACCATTCCCCCCCCCCCCCGCCCCGCCCGCAGAGTGAGGAAGATGAGCGGGAGGAGTCAGACTTCGACAGCGCCAGCATCCACAGCTCCTCCATGCGCTCTGAGGGCTCCACAGCCCTGGGGAAGAAGAGCAAGAGGCGGCGCAAGAAGAAGAGGAGTAGGACTTCCCGGGGTTCCATGGCTGTCCTGGTAGAAGGGGTGGGGTGCAGAGCCCCCCTTGGTTAGCAGGGGAGGCCATCCTCATGCCTCAGCCTCTCCTGGCCTCGGCCAGGAAGTTCACCTGTGTTTCCTCACCCCGTTGGTCTCTGTGGTCAGGGGAGGGGTCTTGTCCCAGTGAGGCTAAATTAGGGACTTTTGGTGTAGGCCCCCTGGGGGCGTTTGCACAGGAGAAGGAACTGCTTCTTAACCTCCTGCAAAATCCACCCTCTAACGCATTATCCCCTCCCTCCCAGCCCCCCACCCATCCTCCTCCCTCCCTCCCTTTTACTTCCAACCCTCTCTCCACCCCTTTACCCCCTCAGCCTTTCCTCAGACATTTATTCACCCCACCTGTCCATCCACCATCCATTCATCCAACACCTATTAAACACCTACCGGGGACCGGTCCAGCCTGGGGTGGAGATTGGTTGGGCATTGGGAGTGGGGGCCAGGTCCTCCACGACCGCCTCTGCCCTCTCCCCAGTTGACGATGGTGATGGCTACGAGACGGACCACCAGGACTACTGTGAGGTGTGCCAGCAGGGCGGGGAGATTATCCTGTGTGACACCTGCCCGCGGGCCTACCACCTCGTCTGCCTTGATCCAGAGCTGGAGAAGGCTCCCGAGGGCAAGTGGAGCTGTCCCCACTGTGTAAGCCCGTGGCAGAGGCTCGGGGGCGGGGGCGCGGCCGGTGCCTGGCTCCCGGATCGCGCAGCCAGTGGGGAGGTGTAGAATGGGAGAGGCGCGCGCGGGAGGGAGGGAGTCGCACCGTGCTGGAGGGGGGCCCGGCCCGAGGTGCCTCCACCCGGATTCTCCCCTCCAGGAGAAGGAGGGGATCCAGTGGGAGCCAAAGGACGACGAGGACGACGAGGAGGAGGGCGGCTGCGAGGAGGAGGAGGACGACCACATGGAGTTCTGCCGCGTGTGCAAGGACGGGGGTGAACTGCTCTGCTGCGACGCGTGCCCCTCCTCCTACCACCTGCACTGCCTCAACCCGCCGCTGCCCGAGATCCCAAACGGTGAATGGCTCTGCCCGCGCTGTACTGTGAGTGTTACGCCCGCCCCGCGCCGCTCGCGCCGCCCGCGCCGCCCCACCCCAGGCCCCTCTCCCGGCACCTCACTGCCCCGCCCACCGAGACCACGCCCCCAGCAGGCCCTGCCCACAAAGGCCTCGCTTCCGCCGGCCCGGGCCACGCCCACCCACAAGCCCCGCCCGCGCCTCTCCAGGCCACGCCCCGCCAGCGCAGCCCCGTCCACCAAAGGCTCTGCCTCTGTAGGGCTAAGCCCCGCCCACCCACAAAAGCCCCGCCCACCGAGGGCCTGGTCTCTGCCGGCCCAGGCCCGATCCGCGACGTTCTGGGCCCCATCCCTTGCAGTGTCCACCGGAGTCCCCGCCCACCACAGTGCCCCCCCCACCCCCGAGTCCCGCCCCCCCGCCTCACTAAGACCCTCTCTGCGTCTCGACCCCGTTGAGACCCAGACGCAGTTTTCCCTGAGCCGTAGTGAAGAGATAGGTGGTGGTAACCCTACCACCCCCCTCACAGCCGCTGTGGGTTGGGGATCCCTTTACCGCTCTCGAGTTGCCGAGTACTGGCCTTTGTCATTCCCATTTTTAGATGATAAAACGGGCTCAGGGAGTAAGGTGACTTGTCTCAAGCCGCACAGCAGAGCTGCCCACTCAGACCCTCCCTGGACCTGCCTCCCATCCCAGGGCTGGGGGCGGTGAGAGGGCAGGAGGCAGGGAGAGGAGAGCACCCCCCACCCCACCCCTGGTGGCTGTATGCATTAGAAGGCCCCCATGCTCCCAGTTGTCCCCCAGGCCCACCCCCAGTGCTGGATTTCCCGCCCTCTGGATCCTGGGCTGTGCTGTGGCCAGCCCCAGTCCCCGGTGTGCATCTGGGCTTCTGGCGTGTGTGCGTGTGCGTGCGTGCGCGTGCATGTGCACACACCCATGTTGCCCATCTCCTGTGTGTGCAGCATGTGCAGGCTCCTGAGGACAGGGCAGTATTGTGGAGTCACGGTGGTGCTGACCTGGGGAGCAGGGCAGCTTGTTGGAGAGAGCCTTGGGACAGCCTGATGTCCCCAGAGCCTCAGGGTGGGGCGCTTTGGCTAAGCCTTGAACTTGGGGACCCTCCTCTGTCCACAGTGCCCCCCAGAGCCTCAGGGTGGGGCGCTTTGGCTAAGCCTTGAACTTGGGGATCCTCCTCTGTCCACGGTGCCCCCCAGAGCCTCAGGGTGGGGCGCTTTGGCTAAGCCTTGAACTTGGGGATCCTCCTCTGTCCACGGTGCCCCCCAGAGCCTCAGGGTGGGGTGCTTTGGCTAAGCCTTGAACTTGGGGATCCTCCTCTGTCCACAGTGCCCCCCGCTGAAAGGCAAAGTCCAGCGGATCCTACACTGGAGGTGGACAGAGCCCCCCGCCCCCTTCATGGTGGGGCTGCCGGGGCCCGACATGGAGCCTGGTGTCCCCCCACCCAAGCCCCTGGAGGGCATCCCGGAGAGAGAGTTCTTCGTCAAGTGGGCTGGGCTCTCCTACTGGCACTGCTCCTGGGTGAAGGAGCTTCAGGTGAGGCCCCCGGAACGGGCAGGTATGGCTGCGCTAAGGCCCTGGTCCTGAGCGGGGCTGCCTGGCGCTGAGTGTGGGGCCCTGTCGGGAGGCGGGAGGGGGAGGCTGAAGGGGAGGTTGTCCTGCGTGCCACCCCGGCTGGGGGGCCGGCTCGGGGACATGGGGGGGCCGTGGCCCACCCGCCCCCATGACCTGTGCTGCTGTGCAAGCAGCTGGAGCTATACCACACGGTCATGTACCGCAACTACCAAAGAAAGAACGACATGGACGAGCCGCCGCCCTTTGACTACGGCTCTGGCGATGAGGATGGCAAGAGCGAGAAGAGGAAGAACAAGGACCCTCTCTATGCCAAGATGGAGGAGCGCTTCTACCGCTACGGCATCAAGCCCGAGTGGATGATGATCCACCGCATCCTGAACCACAGGTGGGTGCCCGCAGGTCGGGGACGCAGCAGCTCCTGCACTCTGTGGAATGGGCGCGGGGCTGCGTGTGCGTGTGGTGGGGGCGGGAGGAAGAGATGGTGGGCCCCCACTGTCGGCGATTTGACTGCCCGGCTGGAGGGGGTCGCCTGATGCACGCAGGCACATGCATGCGCGTGTTCTTACTCACGGTGGGAGTACAGCTCCGAAGTCATATGGGCAGAGGGGCAACTTCATGAACAGCCTGTGGCATTGCACGGAGTGGGACCATCAGCGGGTCAGGATGCTTGTGCTCCCGGGCTTCTGCCAGAGCCGGGGCCCTGATACCTGAAGGAGGGTCCTGGGGACAAAGGTGGCATCCAGTGTGGGGCTGTGTGCCCAGTTGATCCTCCTTTAGAACGACAGCTAACACTGCTGAGCACTATCTACCCTGATAGGTAGACATTTCATTTCTACCTCTTTTATTGATGTGCAGACAGGCACAGCGAAGTTAAGTTACTTGCCCAAAGTCATACAGCCAAGAGGCGGTGGAGGTGGGATTTGAACCTAGTGGGTCAGGAGGGTAGGACTTGCTTTCTTAGCCACTATCCCAAACCCCCGTGCCCTGAGACAACTCTTGGTTGAGAAATCTGGAAACGCCCCGGGTGACAGTGATCAGAGGCTGCAGAAAGCTGGACGGAGACCAGGGCAGGAAGCCTGTGGACCCCTGGAGTGTGGCTTTGGTTTGGGGAGCAGTGGGAGCTCTGGCTGATTCTTGAGCTCAGGTGCTTGAGAACCAGCAGTGGCCGACAGGCGGGTGCAGGGGGAGGCTTGGAGCCTTCACTTGCCTCCCGGTCTTGACCTGATGGGCCCTGCCTGGGAGGGGCTTAGGGCCAGCCGACCACAGGTGTCCTGAGTGGTGGGAGCTGGGTAGTGCAGAGGTTAAGAACCTGAGCCAGGCCCAGATTCTAACCCTGGCTCCCCGTTTTCTGGGCTCTGTGCCTCTGTGTTTCTCATGTGAATTGGGATCACGAGAGAACGCCGCAGGGCTGTGGCAAGGGCCGAGGGAGCATGCCAGCCCCGCTAGAACAGCCCTCAGTAAGCAGCGGGCAGGCAGGGCTAGAAAAGCTGCCTGCCCTCTGCCTATCCTCAGCCCTCACTGAGAGCAACTCTTTTTTTTTTTTTTTTTTTTTTGAGAGAGAGAGAGAGAGTGCGCTCGCACGAGAGAGCATGAGTCGGGGGAGGGGCAGAGGGAGAGGGAGAAGCAGACTCCCCACTGAGCGTGGAGCCTGGGGCACACGGGACACACGGGACACACGGGGCTCAATGCGGGGCTCGATCCCAGGACCCTGAGATCATGACTTGAGCTGAAGTCAGACGTTTAACCGACTGAGCCGCCCAGGCGCCCCCGAGAACAACTCATGAAAAGAGGGTTAGATCCTATGCAAACCTGAGTGCCCCCTCCACTGAACTGACCCAAGTTTTTTTTACCTTTATTAAACTGCATTTTAAAAATATATATGGCAATCTTCCTTCCTACCTCCAAGGCCGGGCAGGTGAATTTTCCGCACATTTATTACCCCAAGTCTGAGTAATGACTATTTATTAAAAAAAAACATCAGTTTCCATGGCGATGGGGGTTGGTCTTTCTCTTAAAGGTCCCCAGGCTAGCTGCAGCCCCAGCCCTTTTGGGGAGCCATGGCTCCCCTACCGCACTGTGCTCCCCAAGCTTGGTCACCCACTCAGCTCAGCGTGGGTGGGAGACTTCGAGGACCATCCCAGCAGCCAGAATCAAGCTGAAGAGTAAGGTGCTTCTCTGGAGCACCCCTTCTGGGCTGCTAGCTTGCTCATCAAGTCCCCGCGTCCCCAGGGGTCTCCAGAAGAGGTCACCCCCCCTCACGTGTGGGAATCTGTCCTAATTTACTTGGCAGAGATGGGACCAGGATGGGCATGCCTCTGGTCCTTTGAATTTTTTAAGTGAAAATAGAGAGGCCTAGGGTCAGGGGAGAGGACTGTCCAACTCAGAAATGCAGAATTCCGGTGTCCAGACCCCCTGCCTGGATGGGACGCCTCACTGTGAGGGGGGATGGGAATGTCGCTGGCTCTTAGCTCCTCTGTGAGCATGGCCTCTCACCTGTCCCTCTCGGGCTCTGCCACCCCCCCGGGCCCTCATCCCTCGCACTAGCTCCCCAGGGCCTGTGGGAGTGGGGGTTTTGCATCCTGTGAGGTGTCCTTTTGGACTCCCCCTGCAGCCCCCCCGCACCCCGCAGCCCCTCTCCCAGCGGCCTGCCCCTCCCCTACCACCTGTGTGCTGTGTTGCAGCTTCGACAAGAAGGGGGATGTGCACTACCTGATCAAGTGGAAAGACCTGCCCTATGACCAGTGCACCTGGGAGATCGACGACATCGACATCCCCTACTATGACAACCTGAAGCAGGCCTACTGGGGCCACAGGTGCGTGGGCCGCAGGGCTGTCCCCAGGCTGCCGCCTCCTGCTGGCCCGAGCTTGGCTCATCTGCCTCCCCTGCTCTTTCCCAGGGAGCTGATGCTGGGTGAGGATGCTAGGCTGCCCAAGAGGCTGGTCAAGAAGGGCAAGAAGCTGAAGGATGATAAACAGGAGAAGCCACCAGACACACCCATTGTGGATGTGAGCAGGGAGCGGGGGATGGGGTGGGGTTGCTGGGTCCTGCCACCCCAGGCTTGGCCGTGGAGGATGGAGTGTCCTGCGGGAGCGGAGTGCCAGGGCCCGTCTGGTTCCGTCCACTTCAGCCCGGCAGCTGACGGGACAAGGTGACGAAGACCCAGGCCCTCCCCGCCGGGGAGAGCTCAACCCCGGGGTCTGGGTCCGCCAGCCTGATGCAGAGGGGCAGCTCCCGGGGGACAGAGGCCTTGGCCTCCTGTGAGTTTGAACTGTGGGTTCCCTGTGCACAAACTGGAGAGCACATAGTCTCTGCTCAGCATACAAAATATATCCCACAGCTGTGAGCCCATCAGGGTGTGGAAGGTTGACCTTTATCCATTTCGCAAACTTCTCTGGGGTGTCTGCCAGCTGTTGGAACAAGGACTCTGGCCCCATGTCAAGAAGTGTCCATCTCCCCCGGGCCCATAGAACATGGGGGTTCAGCCTGGAGCTGGGGATTGCCAGGGAAGGGTAAATGGGCCTGGAACATCTGGAGGACTTCATGGGGGAGGCAGTCTTGAGCTGCAGGCTATAAAGGACACAGAGGGTGATGTTTAGGATCAAGGGGAGGAAGCACCTCAGGCATGCACCAAACATGTTGACCAAGTGTCCACCATGTCCCAGGTATCACGTGGGGCACAGAGGCGGCAGCGGGGAACAGGACGAGTGTGATGACCACAACCTGGGCTCAAAGTCAGAGAATCCAACAATCAGGAAACGACCCCACTGGAAACGTACAGGGCTGCCCCAGGAGGACATGGGAACACCTAAGCCAGACTGGGAGTCAGGGAGGGCTTCCTGAAGGGAGAGGTGCTCCAGCCAAGACCTGAAGGATGAATAAGTTGGCAGGGATGAGAGGAGTGAAAATAGTATTGCGGGCGGAAGGAATAGTGTGTGCCAAGCCCTGGGGCTGGGCTGTGGTGCCCAGGGTTCAGGGTGTGTCTGGACCTCTGCCCCCTCTGCAGCCCACGGTCAAGTTTGACAAGCAGCCTTGGTACATTGACTCCACGGGAGGCACACTGCACCCATACCAGCTGGAGGGCCTCAACTGGCTGCGCTTCTCCTGGGCCCAGGGCACAGACACCATCCTGGCTGATGAGATGGGGCTGGGCAAGACTGTGCAGACCATCGTCTTCCTCTACTCCCTGTACAAGGAGGTGCGCGGGCCAGGGCGGGGGTCCCGGGGGGGGTGGCCAGCACTGGCCGAGGGCAGGCAGCCCCACCGCTTCTGTCTGCCTGTCTCCAGGGGCACTCCAAGGGGCCCTACCTGGTCAGCGCGCCCCTGTCCACCATCATCAACTGGGAGCGTGAGTTTGAGATGTGGGCACCTGACTTCTATGTGGTCACCTACACGGGGGACAAGGAGAGCCGCTCCGTGATCCGGGAGAATGAGTTTTCTTTTGAGGACAACGCCATTCGGAGTGGGAAGAAGGTGTTCCGCATGAAGGTGAGTGCCCCTCATCCTCGGGGGTACCCCAGAAAGGCTCCCGGTCCTGATCCAGATGATCTCATCGCAACTGATTATCCCTGCAAGGACCATCGCTCCTAAAAGCGTCACATCCCGAGGGGCTGGGTGGACACGGATTTGGGGGGGGTGCACAATTTAACCTAGTACATCAGCTGTGTGATCGCTCTGTTTCTCAAATTCTTCTCAGCAAACTGAGCTAACAGACCCAGCCCCCAGAGTTGTGGAGGGTTGACTGAGCTAGGCAGGGTCTCTCAGTCTTGACTGTGTCCACGGGTCACTGTGGGTCTTGTTGAAGAGCAGGTTCTGATCCTGCAGCTCTGGGGTGGGGCCTGAGACTCTGCATTTGTGACAAAGTCCCAGGAGATGTGGATGCCTCTGGTCCCCAGTCTGCACTTTGAGGAACACTCAGGATCGTGGTGGCACATGGTAGGCCCTTAACTCATCTTAGCACTTACGTTAGCTGTGGCACTGGGGGGCTGGCAGTCGCCTCCCAGGAGCCCAGGGGGTTCTTACACCAGCCTGCTCTAGCATCTTGGAACAGCTGTGGCCCCAGGGCATGCCGGGTAACTATTTGTTGGATGAGGGGATGACTCAGTGACCCCAGAGGGGTCAGATGATGGGCCTGCGGGACAGTTAGTCACAGAAAACCTCTCCTGAGCTCACGCTGGGGCCCTGTGACGTGCTGGACACTCTGCAGATTCATCTCTTTTATTTTTACATTTGATCTTAGCCAAAAGGCCGAGAAGCGATAAAAGTTGTGGTAAAATAGGGGTGCCTGGGTGGCTCAGTCAGTTAAGCGTCCAACTCTTGGTTTCAGCTCAGGTCTGATCTCAGGGTTGTGAGATCAAGCCCCACGTCGGGCTCTGCGCTCAGTGTGGTGTCTGCTTGGGTTTCTCTCCCTCTTCCTCTGCCCCTCCCCACTGCGCGCACGCGCTCTCTCTCTCTCTCAAATAAATCTTAAGAAACCAATAAAAATAAAAAATTGTGGTAAAATACACAAACATAAAAATCTACTGCCGTAACCATTTTGAGGTGTGCAGTTCAGGGGCATTAAGTACGTTCACCTTTTCCGGGCAACCATCACCATCCTCCGACCCCAGAACCTTGTCATCTTGCAAAACCAAAACTCGGTCCCCAGCAAGCAGGAACTCCCGTCCCCCTGCCCAGCTCCTGGCACCCACCCAGCTCTCTCCCTCTGTGATTTCGATACTCTCAGTACCTCGTTCAAGTGGAATGGTACAGCATATCCTTTTTTGTGACCGGTTCCCTCGCTGAGCATAACGTCATCAAGCTCATCCCTGTGGTAACACGGGGTCCGAATGTCCTTCCTTCTTAAGGCCGAATAACGTTCCACTGTGTGAAAAGACCGCATTTTGAAATCTGTATGCATTCATCTATCCACAGACGCTTGGGTTGTTTCCACATTTTGGCTCTTGTGGAAATGCTATAAATGTGGATGTGCCAACATTTGTTCAAATCCCTGCTTCTGCTTCTTTGGGGCCTTTTGGGTCATACCCTGAATGGCAGTGTTGGATCTTGGAAGGACTCCGTGTGTCATTTTGTGAGGAACAGCCTGTGCTGTTTGGATTCTCATGGCATTCCTCACGTAGACAGGATTGTGCCCTTTTTACCAGAAGGGAGACTGAGGCTCGGGAGGTTATTTAACTTGACTGAGGTCTAGCTCCAAAGGACAGGGCTGGGTGCAAACCCAGAGATGCCCCTCTGCCCCTCTCTGGTCCCTTCCCACAGGGACGCCGGTCGCGGGGAGAGCCAGGCTTGGTTTGGCCAGGACGGGCTCCCTCCTTTGTGGGGCCCAGTGAAGGACAAAGATATGGGGCCCCTGGTTCAAGTGCAGGAAACAGCTTTTCCCATTATTCCGTGCTCCTCCTCTCTCCATGATGGTGGTTTTTACTGGCTATTTAATGTCATGTCCCTCAGCTTGAGGCTGCTCTCGGGGTGAATGCCCCTTCTGCCCGGGCCTGTTCCCCACGAGGTTGTGAGGCGTCGGTGTTTGCTGGGCAGGGCAGCCGGGGCTCCACCATCCCCAACCATATAATGACTACGAATTTCAAGTTGGCAACTGCAGAGCGTTTAAACCCGAGGGTGAGGACCACTTCTCTGTTCGAATCCTCACTCTGCCACCCATTGGCCACAGGGACCCGGGGGATCTTACCCAGCCTGAGACCCCGCATGCTGTAAATGGGGACAGGGACGGCGTAGCGGGAGTGGCCTGTGAGGATGAGCGGGGCGTGAAGAGCTCAGCGCGGGCTTGCTCCCCATGGCTGTCCATCCTTGGTCGTGCGGGGCTCTGGGCCTCAGCTGCCCCTCTGCCCTTCCTCTCAGTTCCAGGGCCTCCCTGGGCTCTTTGGGGGAGGTCCTGTCCACCCCTCCTCCATGCCTCCTTGTCTCTGGAGACCCTACCTGCTCCCCTCCCAGATGCTCTTCTCCCCCTCCAGAAAGAAGTGCAGATCAAATTTCATGTCCTGCTCACCTCCTACGAGCTCATCACCATCGACCAGGCCATTCTGGGCTCCATCGAGTGGGCCTGCCTAGTGGTGGACGAGGCCCACCGGCTCAAGAACAACCAGTCCAAGGTAGGTGGTGCTGGGTGCCGGCTGCTGGCCCCTGGAGCCGCCCCGCTCCCCCTGACGGGCCTCCTCTCCCCCAAAGTTCTTTAGGGTCTTGAACAGCTACAAGATCGATTACAAGCTGCTGCTGACGGGGACCCCCCTTCAGAACAACCTAGAGGAGCTGTTCCATCTCCTCAACTTCCTGACTCCAGAGAGGTTCAAGTGAGTCAGTGGGCCTGGCCGGGGTGGGGGCAGGCGGGCAGCCAGGGGAGAAGTGTCAGGGTCCGAGGCTGGTGCCGGGGCTCCTCGCTGGAACTTGGTTTCCTCATCAGTAAAATGGGAGCGTTAGCAAGCCCACCTCAAGTGACCTGCGCAGGAGGGGCTGTGGTGCTGCATGTACGGAGTGCTCGGGGGACAGCAGCTGCCCCGAATATGGCGACTGTTCCTCGGCTCTGCCCCAGGAGAACCCCGGGGGTCCTCTGGGACTCCTGTCCTCGCCCCCATACCCTGGCTTGTTCCTTCCTCTCCACGGAAACCCCAGTGACCGCATGGGTGACCGTGATGGGGGCAGAAGACGGGGGTGCTGGCAGATATGGGGGCAAACACAGAGCCCCGGCCAGTGGGAGTCCTGGGGTCTCCTTCCCCAGCCTCCTTGTCTTCACCTACCCCCTTTTCCAGCTCAGAATGGGGGTTTCAGGGTGGACAGTGCTGACTTTGGAATCAGGTGATATAGACTGGAGGACAGGCTGGACCATACAACCTTGGGCCCCCATCAGCCTCAGTTTCCTTTTCTGTAATATGGGTAAAGAGTTCTAGAGACCTCGTGCCCCGGACAGCTTTGAGGAGAGGAAGGTATCCTATTTGGCTGAGAGAGCTGTGCTGAGAGGTTGGGGGTGGGGCATGGGCTCAGATGGACACCTAGGGCTGGGCTAAGGCTCCCAGGCCCACCAGCCAACCGCCTGCCCTGTGACCCTCTGGTCCCCCCCACCCCAGTCCTGGCTCCCTCTGCAGATGGCTTTGGCTTGCTTCCCTCCCCTGCTCCTGGCTCTCATCCCAGTTCTTTCTTGCAGCAATCTGGAGGGCTTCCTGGAGGAGTTTGCCGATATCTCCAAGGAAGACCAGATCAAGAAGCTACACGACCTGCTGGGGCCACACATGCTGAGGCGGCTCAAGGCTGATGTATTCAAGAACATGCCGGCCAAGACCGAGCTGATCGTTCGTGTGGAGCTGAGCCAGATGCAGAAGTGAGTGGGCGCTCTGCCTGTTGGGGCCCTGCCACAGAGCAGCGTGCCTCATGTCCCCTGGGCTTGTCTTCTCCCAGAAGGTCTGACCTAGCCTTCCTGCACTGCTTCCCAGGGTGGTGGGAAGGCTCTCTGGCCCCACTGACGCCTTGACTCACCTTTTGCACACACTTCCTTCTTCGACCTGTTCAGCCGGCCAGGCTTGGGGCTGCCCGAGCCCTTGCAATGTCCCCAGGCACTTGCTGGGTGACTCCAGGCCTGTGGCTTCACCTCGCAGGTCTCCCCTGGTCTGTCTGTGAGTGGTGCAGGACGGGCAGCCCCTGGCCTCCCTGCAGAGTGTGCTCTCAGAGGCTGCGGCAGCCCTGGGGTCCAGCCTGCCTTTCCTCCTTGCCCTGCTGCAGGAAGTACTACAAGTTCATCCTCACGCGGAACTTCGAGGCACTCAACTCCAAGGGGGGTGGGAACCAGGTGTCGCTGCTCAACATCATGATGGATCTGAAGAAGTGTTGCAACCACCCCTACCTCTTCCCCGTGGCTGCCGTGGTAGGTCCCCGTGGCTGCCCCGTGGCCACTGTAAGTAGGGACCCGTGACCACCATGGTCAGGGCGTGAGGCTGCTGTCGTAGGTCCCCTTTGCCCACCGTGGTGAGTGTGCGTGGCTGCCACGGTGGCCCTGGCTGTGGTGGCAGGTGCTCAGCCCTCAGCGCTCCCCGAGGATGAGGACTTAGAGGTGATGTGGTCCCCATTATGCCAGGTTTCTGAAAACCTACCTCCCTCCGCTGCTCAGGCAGGCCCTCTCCTTCCCTTGGCCCCTCCTCATGACCATAAAGTAGTGGGGGGCAGTGGGGCACCCCAAGGTCCCCTCCAGCTTCCGCAGCAGGGGACCCCAGGCTGATCTGGTTGCACTCAGTCACTAAGGGAGTCAGGAAGGCCTGAGTGGGGCCCCAGGTGATTGTGATGTGCGGTCCTGGGTGAGAGACGACCCCAGGTCGGACACCAGCTCTAGCCCTGTGGTCTCAGGAAAGCCAGCAATCCTTCTCTGAGCCTCAGCTTTTTCCTCACTAAAATGGGACAGTAGCATCCGCCTGAGAGGGTAAGGACCAGATGCGGAGGTGCACGTGAAGTGTGCCCTCGCAGAGAGCCTGGTGTTGCTGTTCTTGTCACCACCCACACTACTATTCTGGTTCTCACTGAAACCCTCCACAGGGGATACGTCCTCCCCCCGGACAGCAGAGTGAGGCGCAGGGGGCCGTGCTGTGGGTGATCTGCACTCGAGGCCACCCCAGATGGCTCTCGCCACTCTGGCATGGCAGGTGCCCTTGGACTGACGTCCTGCCCAGCTGGGGTTCAGGGGCTGGCCTGGCCAGGATGCGCCCTCCCAGTGACCCCAGAGACCAGGCATAATTCCTTCTGGGAAGGCCGGCTTAGCTTAAGACTCTGTCATCCGCTTGTTCGCTGATGTCCCTGGTGCCTTGGTGGAGTGCCAGCAGGGGGAGATGGAGGGCGGGCCAACCAGTCTGGCTCTGCCTGGGAACACTGTGCTGGGGAGGGGCCGTGAGATGCGAGGCCCGTCCGCCTCTGCTGAGCCTGGCCTGAGCCGGGCTCGGGCTTTGTGCTCAGCCCGTTACTGAGCCTCTGACCATCCCTGTGGGCCTCTTTGGTGCAAAGCCATAGGGGAGAGGGGAAGCCCCCCAGTGCCCCAACTTCTGCTGTGTCTGCAGGAGGCCCCTGTCTTGCCCAATGGCTCCTATGATGGCAGCTCCCTGGTCAAGTCTTCAGGCAAGCTCATGCTTCTGCAGAAGATGCTCAAGAAGCTGCGGGACGAAGGGCACCGTGTGCTCATCTTCTCCCAGGTGAGCTGGCCCTGGGTGGCTGGCCAACCTCTGCCTCCCCCAGCCTCCACCCTGCACCCTGCAGAGGGCACCCCTGCCAGCTGGGAGCACAGCCCTCAGTGCCCCTGCAGCCTGACTTCCCACAGAGGGGCTCCGGGGCTGGCTTGGGAGGAACCCACATGGGGGCAGTGCCAGGAGGCCCTCTCCAGCACTTGCAGCATCGTATCTTGGCTGGTCAGAGGCATGCTGTGCAGCCTTGGGGGTCAGCTGGTCTGTGTCCTCGTTCCTTCCTCCCTCTGGTTGCATCTGTCCTCCGTCAGGCTCTGTGCTAGGCACGGGGCCAGTCCCTGTCCTTGAGACACTCATAGTTCAGTGTGGGAGATGGAGGTAAAGACATAGTTATTTAGTTCTGGGGGCATCTCTGTGATGGAAGTCACAGCAGTGTTCCTGTGGAGGCCTGGTGGTAAAAATGCTTCCGTGTGGTGGGACTGAGCCAGGCCCCTTGCTCAGAGCCACAAAGTAGGATGTGTCTCCTCTGTGTACTAAAGTGGGAACAGCTGCTCCTGCCTGCAGCCCCCGATCCCATCATGGGCCCATGGGAGGCCGAGGGATTTGGGGAAAGCTGAACGAGCCTGGGACTGGATCCACAATCCCCCCAAACCCCTGCCGACATAAGACAGGATTCTGGGCTGAGGCCTCAAGGGACCAAGTAGAAGGAACTGCACAACTAGAAATGTGCACAGAGGGAAAGTTCCAGAGACAGAGCCCTCCCATCCAAAACGAGCCGACAAACCCCATCTCCAAAACTCATGACGAAAAGACATCCCACAAAACAGTAGGTAGAATCTGAATGAAAAGAAAAATAGAACAGCCTGAAAAAGACTTCGGACAAACATGTTTAGGATCCTCAAAATTAATGGAGTAACACCCATCAATCAAGAAGAAATCAGTTAAGTACAAGCAGGAGGAAATGAAACGAGAATTGGATAGGAAAATCTGCCTGAAACTGAAATAAAACATTTCAAAAGATTGGATAAACTCTCAACCCTGGTGAAGACAATGCTGATGAATGGACCTGGCCCTGAGGGATCTCCCCAGAATGCAGCAGAGAGATGGAGCTTAGAAATGATAAATTGTCTGCAGGACCCCTTGGGAGGCTCCAGTAATCCTCTGACACAAGCCGTAGAAGTAGAGAAAACGGTGATGAAGCTGGACTCTGTGAGTTTGCAGACCTGGGGAAAGACACGAGGTCTCAGATCTCAAGTGCACTCTAGAGTACCAAGTGAGACAGATAAATCCAAGCAAACGGGTCCCCAGACACATCACAGGGAAATCAGCACTTCAGATCAGTACCTATGAGGAATGATGATCAGACTGTCCTCAGAGGTCTCATCAGCAACAGTAGGGGGCAGTGGACAAGTGCAAAATCTCCAGTACCCTGTGGGACTAGATCATTTTATATCCAGCTGAACTATCTCTCAAGAATGAAGGGAGGTACACAGGGGTATGGGAGCCCCGAAGGGACTGCCTTCCTCTTTTTTTTTTTTTTTTAAGATTTTATTTATTTATTTGACAGAGGGAGACACAGTGAAAGAGGGAACACAAGCAGGGGGAGTGGGAGAGGGAAGAGCAGGCTTCCCATGGAGCAGGGAGCCCGATGTGGGCCTCGATCCCAGGACCCTGGGATCATGACCTGAGCCAAAGGCAGATGCTTAACAACTGAGCCACCCAGGTGCCCCTGCCTTCCTCTTCTTATAAGGAGAGGTGAAATCAGGGAAGATTTCACAGAAGAGGTGCTGTTTGAGTTCCCTAGGCAGTAAAGGGGTGGGCATTCCAGGAGGAGAGTCCAGGTAATTTGGGGTGGTATGGGGGAAGCATTGAGAAATAGTCCTGCCAGCCTGGAAAGCCAGGGTGAGGAGCTGGAACTTTCTTCTGTGAGGTGAGAGCAGGGAGGCTCATGATTAGAGCTGTGTTTTAGGCAGATGGCTGTGGGGCCAGCATGGGGGATGCTGTGGCCCCGGGGCTCGAGGTTGGAGGCTGCATTGCTCTCCAGAGAGCCCCATGTCAGGTCTGCCTGGGTCTCACCTATCTCCCCACTCAGCAGGCAGCTGTCTTCCCCCAGCTGTCATGGGGTCCCTGCCCATGGCCCCACGGGGTTCCTTGCTCTGTGGCAGCCCCTCAGGCATACCATGTCCCCTGCAGATGACCAAGATGCTGGACCTTCTGGAGGACTTCCTGGAGTATGAGGGCTACAAGTATGAGCGGATTGATGGTGGCATCACTGGGGGCCTCCGACAAGAGGCGATCGACAGATTCAATGGTACCCCTGCCTTACCCAGGGGTTCTTGATGGGGACCCCATGTCTGCCTTTTCTCCCAGGCTAAGATCTTAGCCAGGCCCCCCAAATGGATGTTCAGATTAGCTTCCCCTCAAGTGGCTGAAGAAAGCAGACCAGTCCTTAGGTCCTAACAGCTTGCCCTTAGTTTTAAATGCTCAAAGGAGTTAATCCCATGGAACCTCCAGGGGCCAGCTGGGGTGCTGAGGGGCCCAGGAGGTAACACCTGTTCAGAACTGAGAACTGGACACAGAGAAGGGCAGATAGGGAGGGAAGTACCACCTCTATTACTAAATGAAGCTGGCGCTGAGGGTCTGGTTGACCCCTGTGGGCTTCGGATGCTGACACCAGGTAAACCAGCAGTTATGAGCAGTGCGGGATGGACACCTCCACCTGGGGCCCCACTGCCCAGATGCCCAAAGGAGCGATGCCCGTTGTCCTCTGGTGTTGGAGGTAGAACGAGTACAGGGTTCCAGGATCTAGATGGAAGTGGGAGTGGCCGAGGCACTGGGAGGACTGGGAACCTGTTCGTAGCTCTTGTGGGTATGCAGGGCAGTCCCAGGTCCCGTATGAAGGGCTTAGGTGGGTCTGAGAACCAGCTGTCCTGCGACAGTGGGGACTGTCCAGCAGGGTTGCTGGGGCCCTGGAGCTGTGACCCTGAGTGTCTCCTGGCCACAGTGACAGCCTCATGGACTAGGTAAAGCCGGGAGGGCACGAAGGACTGAGCTCTCCAGGGCCGACCCTTATTATGGGTCTGCCTGTATTTGCTGGCTATTCGTAGTTTGTTCTTTGCCCATCTGGGCTTTGAAAATCAACTTCCTCTCACTCTGGCTCCCTCCTGTTGGCTCAGGGCTCAGAGCACAGCTGGGGGCTAAGTGGGGCTCGAGTGGACTGCTCTGTGCCCACCCTGGGCCCCCGGTCTCCTGCAGCTTCCCTGAACACAGCTGGGACTGTTGTTGTCCGTGATGGGGTCACAGTCCCCAGCAGCTCCTTCCCTCTTGTATCTGCTCCCACCCTGCTCTCTGCTGCCCACCTGTCCCCTCCCTCTCCGCTCTGACCCCACTGGGCACCTGCCTCTCTTCCTCAGCCCCTGGGGCGCAGCAGTTCTGCTTCCTTCTCTCGACCCGGGCGGGGGGCCTGGGCATCAACCTGGCCACAGCAGACACCGTCATCATCTACGACTCGGACTGGAATCCACACAATGACATCCAGGTCTGTGGCCCTGACACCACAACCCTCTCAGACAGCCCCTTGCCCCACCTGGTTCTGTGGGCTTTCCATCCCTCCCCCTCAGACTGTGTCTCATGGAATCCCAGCCCCAAGAGGGGCCCGGGGGTTGGGGGGTGAGTGGAGCTTTGCCCCGCCCCTCCGGCTCCCTCACTATACAAAAGAGGAAACGCCCAGAGAGGACAGGCAGGGTGTCCAAGGACTCACGACAGTCTGTGTGCCTGGTAACCCCTGGTCTGTCCCATCACTCTTAGGACCAAGGCCATGGAAGGAGGCAGGAGGAGGGAGTCCTGGGACCCAGAGGGAGCCAGTTTGGGAGGAAGCAAGGGAAACAGAGTGGGGGGAGAAGCCTGTGGGAGAAGAGATGGAGGGGGCAAAAGGGGCTGGTGAGGAAGGATGGGCGGGCTGAGGGGGGTAGGGGTTGTGGGAGTATAGAGACACACACTGTTGTCGCCTGGTCACCCCACCCGGGGCAGGGATGGACACACACACACTTGTTTCTCATGCACACATGTGCACCCACGCATGGTCACCGGCATAGATGGAAACACTATGGTCGCATCACGCAGACACCCAGTGCACGCAGCGCCGGGCAGCTTCCGGGCCTTGCTGCCCTCCCGAGCTGGCTGTGCAGTCCCATCCGCGGCTCACTCACCCCATCTCCCCGATCTGCCATCAGAGCGCCATGTGGCTTCGACACGTCCAGCACACTGGCCCCTGCCCACCCGCAGCCATGCCCAGCTCCACCTGTGCGGGCACCCAGGCCCACACGAGACTACCCACAGTCGGGAAGGGAGAGGAGCTGGCCTGACACGTGTGCATTTCCATGGGGTCACACGGCTCGTTCCACACAGAACATGCCCATGAACACGTGTGCACACCCCCTCTCCCCATGAGGTGCCCGACCCTGCCCCCCCAGCCCTTGGCTGAGCCCCGAGCACTGAGCTGCAGCTTGCCCCCAGGCCTTCAGCCGTGCCCATCGCATCGGACAGAACAAGAAGGTGATGATCTACCGCTTCGTGACTCGGGCCTCGGTGGAGGAGCGCATCACACAGGTGGCCAAGCGCAAGATGATGCTCACCCACCTGGTGGTACGGCCCGGCCTCGGCTCCAAGTCCGGCTCCATGACCAAGCAGGAGCTGGACGACATCCTCAAGTTCGGCACAGAAGAGCTCTTCAAGGACGACGTGGAGGGTGGGTGTCCAGGGTGGCTAGGGGGAGGGGGCTACTCCAGACACACCCATCCCAGGGCCTCTGCCAGCCCACAGCCTCTCTCTCCTCTGCTCCGTCTCCTGGCCGGGGCGGCCTCGCGGGGCACTGCCCCCCAGCCCTGCAGCCCCTCTGACTCTGTCCTACAGGCATGATGTCTCAGGGCCAGAGGCCGGTCACGCCCGTCCCTGATGTCCAGTCCTCCAAAGGGGGAGCCCTGGCTTCCAGCGCCAAGAAGAAGCATGGCAGCACCCCGCCAGGTAGGGGCTAACTCAGCCTAGCTCCCAGCTCCTCCTGTGCTTCCGGTGGCTGTTCCTGGAGAGGAACCCCGCTCGGCCCTGCCTGCTTTTGGTCGCGCTCTGCTGCCCGCCCCCACCGGCCCCTCACTTGGGTAGCCGCGGACTGTCGGGTGGGCAGCTTCCCCTCTCTGGTCACCATGCTCCTCCGCTGCAGCCCCTGCTGGGGGCTTGGAAGGGCCAGGGTCGGGAGTCCGTCCCTGTGGGGTCCCCACGGTCGGGGAGTCTGTCCCTATGGGGTTGGACCCCACCCCCGTCTGTCCCTTCACTCTGCACCCTGTCCGCCCCAGGCGACAACAAGGACGTGGAGGACAGCAGTGTGATCCACTATGACGATGCGGCCATCTCCAAGCTGCTGGACCGAAACCAGGACGCCACGGACGACACGGAGCTGCAGAATATGAACGAGTACCTGAGCTCCTTCAAGGTGGCGCAGTACGTGGTGCGCGAGGAGGACGGCGTGGTAAGCCCGCCCCCGCCGCGGCCCCGCCCCGCCGCGGCCCCGCCCCGCCGCGGCCCCGCCCCGCCGCGGCCCCGCCCCGCCGCGGCCCCGCCCCGCCGCGGCCCCGCCCCGCCGCGGCCCCGCCCCGCCGCGGCCCCGCCCCCGCCGCGGCCCCGCCCCGCCGCGGCCCCGCCCATCTCCACCCAGCAAACTTTTACTCCTGGGGTCCGCCCTTGGGTCTTTCCGGATCAGCGTCTCCACTTCCTTCAGTCCCGCGCCCTCCACGCAGATCCTGGGTGCTAATTATCATTCAGGAAACCGGGAGCCCCCTGAGGGCAGGGGTGGGGCTCACTCAATTCTGTACCCCAATGCCTGGCACAAGGCCAGGAAATACTTGTGGCGTGAACGAACGAACGAACGAATGAACGAACGAACGAATGAATGAATGAACGACTGTGACAGGGGCAGGATGAAGACCATCTGGGGCTGGGGTGATCAAGGTGGCTTCCTGGAGTAGGCAGGCTTTCCGGTTCAGCCTTGAGCTCCTAGAGGCTAAGGTGAGGTGGAGGCAGCGTGAGGAGCCCCGGGGGCAGCGCTGCCCCCTGTTGGCCCCACCCCGGAGCCCCGGGGCCTGGGCCTGCGGGTCCTGCCGTCATGGGGCGCCGTGCGTGTGTCTCCAGGAGGAGGTGGAGAGGGAGATCATCAAGCAGGAGGAGAACGTGGACCCCGACTACTGGGAGAAGCTCCTGCGGCACCACTACGAGCAGCAACAGGAGGACCTGGCCCGCAATCTGGGCAAGGGCAAGCGCGTCCGCAAGCAGGTCAACTACAACGACGCCTCCCAGGAGGACCAGGGTGCGTGGCCCCCGCAGCCCGCCCGCGTGGGCCGGAGAGTAGGGAGTGGGGGGGCAGTGCGTGGAGAAAGGGGGCTTGGAGCAAGTGTGGGCTGTTGGGTGTCTGGAGGAGCTAGATGGGTGGTGGTCCGGTGACTTCTGACCTTGGGCGAGCCTCAGTTTCCCCATCTGTAAAAGAGGGATGATCACCGTACGGTATCTTAGGATATAGTGCAGGGCCGGTGGGATTCAGCGAGCTCACAGGAAGTTTCCCCCGGGGCTCTTTTCATTGTCACTCCCTCCTGGGCTGGGGTTTAGGGGCTCGGCATGGCCCTGGGTGTTTTGGAGGCTCACTCTGTGCCTTTCCACGTGGCCCCTCACAGAGTGGCAGGACGAGCTCTCAGATAACCAGTCCGAATATTCCATTGGCTCCGAGGATGAGGACGAGGACTTTGAGGAAAGGCCAGAAGGGCAGAGTGAGTCTCATGGCTGGTGACCCTGGACTGGGGCCCAGACCTGTGTCAGGGGGCTGACGGTCAGCCTGGGGTCTCCTGGGAGCGTCAGGACAGTCATCCATCCTTTGGGGGATGTCCTGAGGGATCCTGCTGTGCTGGGGTGAGTTGGTGGATGGGGTGGGGGGTCAGGACACCCCGGGCTCCAGTGAGGTGTTGTGGTGGGGCTACTTCCCAGGTGGACGGCGACAATCCAGGAGGCAGCTGAAGAGCGACAGGGACAAGCCCCTGCCACCTCTTCTCGCCCGTGTGGGTGGCAACATCGAGGTGGGGCCCGCCTGCACACCCCTTCCCCAGGCCCCCTGCCCCCTCCTCAGAGCAAAGAGCTCACCCCTGCTACACCTCTGGGGTGTGGAACAGGGGTGGAGGCAGGAGGGCGAGGGGCTTGCCCAGGGTCACAGCTGTGTAGAGGTGGGGCCAGGACAGACCCTGGGTCTGGGCTCTGCCCTCTGGGTCCTGCCCTAGCTGGAGGCCCCTGCCTTCTCTGTGCTCCTCCCTGCCTCCTCCCCTCCATATGCCTTTCTCCCCATCCCTGAATTCTCTGCTCCCCCACCCCACTCCCTGCTCACGCAGGTGCTGGGCTTCAATGCCCGCCAGCGGAAGGCCTTTCTGAACGCCATCATGCGCTGGGGCATGCCCCCCCAGGATGCCTTCAACTCTCACTGGCTGGTGCGGGACCTTCGAGGGAAAAGCGAGAAGGAATTTAGGTAAAGGGGCTGAGGTGGTGGCCCAGGGTGTAGCTGCCCGCCGCAGAGTGGGGCAGGCTCCACTGGGCAAGACTGCACAATGGGCATCATTTGTGCTCTCGTCCTGGGCTTCCTGTCTGGAGGATTCACTGTTGTCTGGTCTTCTGGTGGCTGGGGTCCAGGCCCGGGCAGGGCTCATGTGTAGAAAACACAGACCAGCCACCTCTGCTAGACCAGATCCGGGGCAAGGGCTGTCCTAGTAGGTTCCCTTCCCAGGGGAGGCCCCCTCTGGCCTTCCCTGGGGGCCTGACCCAGCAGGCCTGGCTGGGAGGCAGGGGATGGATGATGGTTCCAGCCAGGGGGTTTGCTGGGGGTCCTGCCAGCCTTCTCAGAGGGTCCTTGCTGGCCCCCCACTCCCTGAGCCCCAGTAACCCCCACCCCAGAGCCTATGTGTCCCTCTTCATGCGGCACCTGTGTGAGCCGGGCGCTGACGGCGCAGAGACCTTCGCGGACGGTGTGCCCCGTGAGGGCCTCTCGAGGCAGCACGTGCTCACCCGCATCGGGGTCATGTCACTAGTTAGGAAGAAGGTGGGTGAGTAAGCCTTGCCTGGGCCTTTCCTGGTGGCCCCCCATGGCCCTCGTGTGCCCCCTGGGGGTCAGCGGGCAGGGGGCAAGTGCCTGGCTCAGGACACTGAGTCGGGCTAGAGGGACCTCTCTGAAGACCTGTCTGGGTGGGGGGGTGTGAGGCTGGAGGTGGGGATGGCAGGTCACAGGGCAGAGGACACACAGGGGGTGGGGGTGGGGGTGGGGCCTGGCACAGCGGTTTGTGGTCAGAAGTGCATTTGGCTTGGCCAGCCTTGGGGGGAGGTGGCATTCATCCCGAGCCTGGGACACCCCCAGTCCCACCGACCGCCCTGAGGCCCTTAGGTCTGAGCTGAGACCACCTCCCTCTCTCCTTCCCTGCCTCCCGCCCCAGGTTCAGGAGTTTGAGCACGTTAACGGGAAGTACAGCACCCCGGATTTGATCCCCGAGGGGCCCGAGGGCAAGAAGCCAAGTGAGGTCATCTCCTCGGACCCCAACACGCCAGTGCCCGCCAGCCCTGCCCACCTCCTGCCGACCCCACTGGGCCTGCCAGGTCTGGGCTCCGATGAGCGGGGGAGGGCGCCTGGGTCACGGGGTGTTGGTGGCAAGGCCCCCGGAGAGCCCGGGTCCTCCGCACAACCCATGACAGACAGCCTCCCTTCCGCCCACAAGCTTCTGCCTGCAGAAACATTGCTCTGCTCCGACTTTCTCTTTTTAACGGCTATTCACATATCACAACGCTTAGTCTTTAAAAATCTTACTGTTCAGGAGTTACTAGTATATTCACAGGGATGAATCACCTCTAATGCTAGAAGGTTTTTGTCACCCAGAGAAAAACTTGTACCTATTAGCAGTCACTCCTGTTCCTTTCCCTGCCCAGCCCCTGGCGGCCACGAATCTACTTTGTGTCTGTGGGTTTGCCTGTTCTGGACCTTTCCGGCAGATGGAACTATATCCTATGTGACCTCCTGTGTCTGGCTTCGTTCTCTAGCGTGTTTTCGAGGTTCGTCACGTTGTAGGGTGGGTCGTTGCTTCAATCCTTTTCGTGGCCGAATACTATTCCGTTGTATGGATGAACCACATTTTTGTTTAGTCATTTGTCAGCTGATGGATTTGGGGTTGTTTCTACTTTTTGACCGGTGTGGAAAATGTGAGGGATGCTGCAAGTGGTGTGTGGCCGTGAACGTCCGTGTTCAAGTGAGGACACGTCTCTTCGCTGCATTTCTCTCGGGTGTGTAGCTAGGAATGGTGTTGCTGGATCGAAGGGCGTAACGTGTTGAGGAACTGCCGGATTTTTCCACAGTGGCCACGTCGTCTTATATTCTCCCCAGCCACATATGACGGTTCCGGTTTCCCCACATCCTCATCGAACGTTTGTTGTCTGACTTTCTGCTTGTAGCCATGCTAGCGGGTGTGAAATGGTGTCTCCCCGAGGTTTTCTTGTGCTTCTGGGCCACTTGTGTATCTCTTTTGGCAAAATATCTTTTCAGATCCTTTGCTCTTCTTTGATGGGTTATTTGTCTGAGTATCTTTTTGGTGATCCATGCATTTATTTGGGCGAAGCATCTTCTTCCCTCAGAGGGACCTCGCAGGCCTGGCACTGACCTACCGATGCCCAGGTGACACGTGAAGTCCAGGGAGCCTTTGCCTCCAAGGACATACCTGCTGCTTCTGGGCATGTGTGCCCTTGGGAGCGGACGGGCCTGGGTTTGCTTCCTGGCCCTCTGTGAGCCCCGTTTTCTCATCCATGATGTGGGACAGGCTAGTGCCCACCTCCCAGGGCTACTCAGAGTATGAGAGTCACCAGCACTCGGCAGTGTGTTGAGTAAGGGAAGGTTAGTGAGGGAAGGCACACGGCTTGTCAGCCAGCCAGAAAGCAGGAACCACATCCAGCTGTTCTGGCTCCTAGGCCTGCCTCCACTCGCCTCACCTCCTGCTTTTAGATGGGGGGCCCTGCTCTGGGCAGCCCTGTCCCATCAGCCTGTGGCTTTGGCCTCACTGGCTTAGCCTGTGTCTGCAGGCTTAGCCTGGGGTCTCTGGCTCACCTGGTTCACCTGTCCTTCTTCTGGAGGTGTCTGGCCCAAATGGAGCCATCTGGCACCCCCATTTCCTGCCCTTCACCCCCTGCCTGCCCTAGCCCATCTATCTCACCTCTGTCCTTTGATCTTTCAGACAAAATGGAAGCCCAGCTGGGTTACATGGATGAGAAGGAGCTGGGGGTTCAGAAGCCAAAGAAGCCCCCAGAAATCCAGGTATGGAAGGTGCTGGTGTCTGGGCCCCTGGGGGGCTGTGGGTTGGGGGTTGGATCTTGAGACCTTCTCAGCCCTTGGTTGGGCAGCTAGAATCCAGGCCTCCTGGCACCATGTTTGGGCCTCTGGGTCTGGGGGAGCAGGTTGGGAGCTCAGATGGGAACCAGGAGAGTTCCTGGTGCCCAGTGCCCGTCCTCTGCCCCCCATGCTGCTGAGGTCCCAGGCCCTGCAGCATCCCTACCTAGCCTGTCCTCCCCAGGCCCTGCCAACTTCCCTGGACAGAGTGGAGGGCGAGGACAAGCATGAGAGCTCAGATGGCAAGGAGCGGCTGGAGGAGATGGAGAAGGCCCCACCATCCCCAGAGCAGCTGCCGAAAGGTGCGGCTTCCCACAGTCACCACCCCCAACGTAGCCTCTGGCCTCAGCATCCCTGGGTCAGAGGAGGGCGGCCAGGCTGTGTTCCCCTCCCTCTCTCCCTGGCTGGGTGGCAGGCTCTGTCCTAGTGCGATAGGATCCCCAGGATGAGGAGAGAGCCAAAGGCTCAGGTCTCTAGAGTGGATTTCAACTTTTCCTACGATGCAGAGTTCGGGGGTTATTGGGCTGTCTTTTTATTAGTGAATTCTAACTCTATTGCACTGTGGTTGGGGCACATGAGTCTGTATGATATTGTTTCTACATGATGTCAATGAAACCTGCTTCCTGGCATGATATGGTTTTGTAATATGGTATGATTTTGTATCATGTAATATGATATGATTTTGTAAATGGTCGTGTGTGCTTGAAAAGAATGCCTATTTTCTGAATTGCCGAGTGTGAGGTTCTAAATACACATATTAGATCATTATTTTGTTCAAATTTCTTATATCCTTACTCATTTTTGGTTTGCTTTGATCTGTCAAGTCTGAGAGACTTATGTTAGGATCTCTCACTATGATTGTGGATCGGTGTCTTTCTCTTTGTAAGGCCAGAGTGTGCCTCATATCATTTGAGACTGGGTTGTTAGGTGCATATTGCTTTAGGTTTTTTATATTCTTCTGGTGAAGTGTGCCTCTTATATAATGACCCTTTTATTCCTCCTGATATTTTTTGCTTTAAGGTTTATTTAGGCTGATTTGGATGGATCTTACTTTTGTTAAGTATATATTTGGTTTATGTTTTTCTATCTTTTTACTTAAAAAAATACATGTACATACAAACACTTTATTGTGATATAATCACACAGGATACAGTTCATTTATTTTATTTTATTTGTTTATTTTTAAAGATTTAATTTGTTTATTTGAGAGAGAGAGCGCATGTGAGCGTGACCAGGGGGAGGAGGGGCAGGAGTAGAGGGACAAGCAGACTCCCCGCTGAGCGCAGAGCCCAGTTCAGGGCTCAATCCCAGGATCCTGAGACCATGACCTGAGCCAAAATCAAGAGTCAGATGCTTAACAGACTGAGCCACTCAGGCACCCCACAGTTCACCCATTTAAAGTGTACAAGTTGGAGATTTTTAGTATATTCGCAGTGTTGTGCAAACATCAGCACAGATAATTTTAGAATATTTTCATCACTCCAAAAAGAAACCTCATGTCCATTAGCATTTATTACCCATTTCTTCCTCTCCACCCCAGCTATCACTCATCTACTTTCTGTCTCTATGGATTTGTGTGTTCTGGACATTTCATGTAAATGGACTCATAAAATAGATGCCCTTTTTTGTCTGGCTTCTTTCACTTAGCATAATGTTTTCCAGGTTCATCCATCTTGTGGCATGGACCAGTGGTTCATCCCTTTATCCTTTATATAAATATACTGCATTGTATTTATCCAGCCATCGTTGATGGACATTTGGGTTGTTTTTAATTTTTGGCTGCTGTGAACATTTATGTACTGTTTTTTTGTGTGGACATAGGTTTCAGTTCTGTTGGGTATCTACCTATGAGTGAAATTGCTGGACTGTATGATAGCTCTGTGTTTAATATTTTGAGGAACTGCCAGATTGTTTTCTCCAGTGGCTGCACTGTTTTACATTCCCATCAGCAATGTATGAGGATTCTGATTTGTCCATGTCTTTGACAATGCTTGTCTTTTTTTTTAAGATTTATTTATTTGAGGGGCGCCTGCGTGGCTCAGTCGTTAAGCGTCTGCCTTGGGCTCAGGTCATGATCCCAGGGTCCTGGGATCGAGCCCCGCATCGGGCTCCCTGCTCTGCGGGGAGCCTGCTTCTTCCTCTCCCAGTCCCCCTGCTTGTGTTCCCTCTCTAGCTGTCTCTCTCTGTGTCAGATAAATAAATAAAATCTTAAAAAAAAAAGATTCATTTGGGAGAAAGTGAGCACAAGAGGGGGCGGGGGGAAGGGAGAGGGAGAGAAAATCCCAAGCAGACCCCCTGCTGAGCACGAAGCCGGGCCCTCGGGGCTCACTCTCATGACCCTGAGATCATGACCTGAGTCAAAATCAAGTCAGATGCTCAAGCAACTGAACCACTCAGGTGCCTCTGACAACATTTGTCTTTTGATTATAGTCATCCTACTGAGTGAGAAGGGGTATCTCAAATGGTTTTGATTTGTATTTCCCTTATGCATAAAGATGTTGAGTTTCTTTTCATGTACCATTTGTATATCTCTGTTGGAGAAATGTCTTTTCAGGTCCTTTGCCCATTTTTTAATTGGGTTATTTGTCTTTTTATTACTGAGTTGTAGGAGTTCTTTATAGATACATGTTCCATATCAGATATATGATCTGCAAGCATTTCTTCCATTCCTTTACTTTAAAACATTTTTTTATTGAAGTATAGTTGATACTCATTCCTTTACTTGTAATCTGTGTAATTACATTTTAGGTATATGTCTTATAAACAGGGTATAGCAGGATTTGTTATCTTAAGTCCAATCACAGAATCTCTATCTTTTAGCTGGCATGTTTGATCTCTTTACATTTATTGTAATAGCTAGATATTTGAATGTATTTCTACTCTCTTACTTTGTGCTTTATATTACCCTTGCCTTCTTTTTTCTCCTTTCCTGCTGTCTCTTGGATTGATCAGACTTTCTTTATATTTCTTTTTTCCCCCTTAACTCCTTTGGAAAGTTTATAGTCAATCCTATATTATACTCTTAAGCTTTTAACATGTATCCCTCTTGAATAAGAGAAGGGCTGTGCGTAGCTCCACTCCCTTTCCATCTTCCATGTGTTTAGTTTCAACTTGTTTTCATTTCCCAAATTTGTTATAGTGCCTATTTCTAAATCTTTAATCCTTATTTAGATCTTACCATTCTTAGCAGTTTTGTGTTTGCTTCCTTGTTCATCATTGCTTCCTAAAGTGTCTTTTTTCCTAAAGTACACCCTTTAATGGTGCTTTCAGCAAATTTCTGTGTGTGGAAAATTCTCTCATTGTGTGTTATTTTTCCCTTTACTCTTGAATAATAGTTAGCAAAGCACAAGAGAGGATAGGGGTTTTCCCTCAGCACTTTTTTTTTTTTAAGTGGAGCCCAACACGAGGCTTGAACTCATGACCCTGAGATCAAGACCTGGGCCAGGATCAAAAGAGTCGGACGCTTAACTGACTGAGCCACCCAGGCGCTCCTTCCCTCAGCACTTTGAAGATGTGTATTCCCTGTGTATTCTGGCTTCCACTGTGCCGAGAAGGCTGCTCTTAAGGTAATTGTTGCTCCTTTGTGGGAAATCTGCCTTTTCTATCTTTCCTGACATGGTAAGACCACTTTTAAGATATTCTGTTTGTGTTTGGTCATGTGTGGTTTCACCACAATGAAATTTTTATTTCTCTTGCTTGTGACTGTGATTCTTAAAGCTAAGTATTCTGTCTTTCATTGATTGTGAGAGAATTCTCAGTCATTCCCTCTTTGAATATTGTCTTTGTCCCCATTATGTTTATTTTCTCCTGGCATTCCTACTACTCATCGATTCCTTCATTCATTCATTCAGCAAACCTGTATCGAAGGCCTGCTGTGTGTTGGGTGCTATCCTGAGTATTGGGGACACAAGCAATACACCAAAATAGCCACAGCCTTCACATCGAATTTGTATTCTAGTGGGGCAGGCAGGCGATCAGCCATAAGCAGAAATATGTCTTTGTTCAACAACAGACTCCAAACGTGATGAAGAAAAGAAAGCAGGTACAAGGTTAGCCAAATACGGGGGCTGGTGTACCTTTCATGTCTTTTACTTCTTTTTTGCCTGTCTCTCTTGCACAGCTTTTTTTTTTTTTTTTTAAGATTTTATTTATTTATTTGAGAGAGAGAGCGTGCGTGTGCCTGGTAGTGCACAGGCAGCAGGGGAGGGGCAGGGAGAGGGGAACAAGCAGACTCCCCTTTGAGAGCAGAACCCGACACGGGGCTTGATCCCAGGACCCTGAGATCACGACCTGTGCCGGTCAGACTCTCCACAGACTGAGCCACCCAGGCGCCCCTCTGCAAGGCTTTTTGAGTTATCTTTAGATCTAGCTTCCTCTTCTTTCTTTATACTGTTTTGTTTCTTCATACTTCCCACTTGTGTTATTTTCTATGGCTGCAAAACAAATTATTACAACCTCAGTTCTTAAAACAACACCCATTTACAAGCTTACAGTTCAGTGGATCAGAAATCTGGCTTGGTGTGGCTGGGTTCTCTGCTGAGGGTCTCGAAAGACTGACATCAACGCGTTGGCTGGGCTGAGTTCTCGTCTGGCAGCTCAAGGGGAAAAATCTGCTTCCAAGCTCATTCTTGTTGGCTGACGTCAGCTCCTTGGGGTGGGGGCCTGAGGCCCCATTTCCCTCTGGCTGTGAGATGGGGGTTGTTCTCAGCCCCTGGAAGCCACCCACATTCCTTGCCCACTTGGTCTTCAGGCTTCAAGGCAGCAATTGTGTGCCGAATCCCCCTCATACTTCGAGTCTCTGATGTTCTTTTCTGGGACTGGTTGGAGAAAACCCTGCTTTTCGAGGGCTGGTGTGATGAGGTCAGGCCCACCCAGATAATCTCCCTCTTAGAAGGTCACCTGTGCCCCATCCCACCCCCGACTTGTACTCCAGGGCCCGGGAGTCTTGGAGGACATCTCAGATTTCTGCAGTGAAAATGTTTAAAATGTTAATGATTGTGTATTTTATTTCTAGAAGTTTTAGCTGGCTTTTTCTAGTTTCCCTCTTTTTTGTGGACTTGTCTTATTATGGATTCTCATCTTTCTTGTCTCTCTCTCTGGTGGATGGATAAATGGTTTCTGAAATTTGGTTGGCTGCATCTTTATCGGACTTGTTTTATCCATGGGAACCCTGTGTCACCTGAGTAGCAGGAATGTCCCTGCTCTATTTCCAGAAGCCCCAGGCCCCGTGGGCTTGCTGGTGGTCTGGCTGGTCTGGGACCAGTCTTGATGGTGCTCTCTCTGCGGGGGTGGCACGGTTTAGATTCCACGGTCAGGGTCGTGGCAGCTTGGCCATGAGGCATCGGATGGAGCTGTCTCTCTTGTTGAATGCACAGTGGTTGGAGGGTGTCATGCTGTTGGAGGGTGTTGGATTCTGGTTCTCTGGTCTTCGGGGCTTGCAGTCTTGGCCTCTGCCTGGCATCCACTCACCCCTTTCCCTTTATGGCACTGACAATTTCCTTTTCTCCTTGTGAGCTCACTGTGTGTTTTTCCAAGGTGATAGATTTTGCCTGACATTTCTGGGTGTTCGTAAGAGGGTTTTGTGTTAATGAAGTCCTGCCGTGTTGTCAGAACATTGAGTCCTCTGCATATCATTGTGGTAGGGAGGATTTCGAGACTGTTCCTTGAGGAGTTTGGGGGTGGGGTGCTGCTGGGGTGGGGTGAGAAGGAAGGGGCAAGACAATGGTGTTGGGAGGGTCCACGCCCATCATACCTGCCTTCCCCGAGGACCCCTCCTATGTGGCCCAGTTGGACTCCTCGGTAACGTGATAGGTGGGATTCTGTGTGTGGGTGAAATGGAGTTGGAAAGCCACCAGCCCGGGGTCCCCTTTGTCTGTCCCGGACCTCTCCCTACTCTGCAAACACCCTTTGTCTTGCAGAAGAAGTGCTTCCTGAGAAGGAGAAAATTCTGGACAAGCTGGAGCTAAGCTTGATTCACAGCAGAGGGGATGGCAGTGATTTCAGGCCAGGTTTGGGGCTCTTGTGTGTGCTCTGTCCTGTGTCCCTTGGGCTCTTGAGGGCGCCGTCTGGACTCCGTTGGGCCTCCTGCAGCTTCCATGGGCGCCACCATCCATCCGTAACCCCCCCTCCCTCACCCACCCAGCTGGAGCTGGCGGGCAGGAGCCTGGGCTCGCCAGCCCTTGGCCGGGGGGAGATGCCGCCCCCTCTCCTAATCCCTCCTGTGGCCCCAGCCACCACCAGGAGAAAGGAGAGCTGGTCACAGAGCTTGGCCTGGAGCATCTGGGGCTCAGTCATAGACTTTGTGTACCTGTAGATGCTGGAATGTTCTGGAACACTCATCCTCAGATCAGACCCCTCAGGACAGCACAGCTGGCCTCTGACTTAATGTGCACTTTTCGCGCTGCTCTGCCCGGTGATCCTATTTGAGTGGGGGAGCTGCACCTGGGCCTGGAGCCCACCCTCCCTGCTCAGGACAAGAGAGGGGCTGCTGATTGGTCTGTTTAAAATCCCTCTTGGCAGTGAGCCCCTTGAGGACGATGAGATATGGCTCCCGCTTGCCTTTGGGTCCCCAGTCCCCAGTGCTTGGCAGAGAGAGGGCCCTGGGCTGTACCTTTCAGATGGGTAAATGAATATGGGTCTGTCCTCCCATAGATGACGCCAAAGTGGAGGAGAAGGAGCCCCTTGAAACACAGCAAAATGGTGACAAAGAGGAAGATGAGGAGGGGAAGAAGGAGGACAAGAATGGGAGGTTCAAATTCATGTTCAACATTGCAGACGGGGGCTTCACAGGTATTGGGCTGAGGCAGTGGGCAGAGAGCTAGGGTGGTTGTTGTCATGGGCTTCCTAACTTTGTGGGTCCTGGGAGTGTGGGCAGATGGTTACTTTATACTAAAGTGTGAGTGGTTGATAAAAGTGCATTATATAACCTTTACCGGTAACCCTGAGATACTGGACTTCCAGGGGTGGGGAGATGGTGGGTGGTGAGGAAGAGACTTTCCTGTGCCTACCCTTGTGAGGGACTGGGGGGCACCTCATTCTGCTTCTCCGTTGGCTGGCTTCCCAGAGCTGCACACACTGTGGCAGAATGAGGAACGTGCTGCTGTGTCCTCGGGGAAAATCTACGACATCTGGCACCGGCGCCATGACTACTGGCTGCTGGCCGGCATCGTGACGTATCCTTGGCCAAGGCTGGCCGGGCAGGACTCCGGCCTGTTCCTCTGTGGACCTCAGGGAGGGACATGGGGTGTGTGGGATGAGGAGTTAGGAGCCCGTGCTTTTGATCAGGTGCTGAGGACCCTTTCCTGGTGTTGATGGTGATGATGGTGATGACCTTGGCTGTGGCTCATCCCTTTCCGCCCAGTGCTCGCTCCATCCACATAGCAGCCTTCCGAGGGGCACCACCATGATTCCATTATACAGGGGAGGAAATGATGCTCAGAGAGGCCACGTGACTTGCCCAGGGATACACAGCTAATAAGTCACAGCCCATCCCTCTGACTCCAAAACAAATAACCCCTAACTCCTGCCCTCCTCCCAGTAATGATGCCTGCAGGGGGCATCGCCATTTACAGGGCGCTCGTATTCATCCATTCAGTCTTGATTGCTCGTCTCCTATGTGCCAGGCATGGAGGATGCAACCCTGAACAACATTCCCCAGTCCCTGTCTACCTGGGGCTCAGATCCTGCTGGGGACAATGGCGAATGCCGTAAGTTAGCGGAGTGTGGCATTCAGCAGAACAGGATAGAGCAGGCGAGGAGCAAACGGAGTGTTGGGGTGGGGGCTGCATTTTCTAATAGGTGCTCAGCGGTGACATTTGAGCACAGACCTCCCAGGGGCAAGGGGAGGGCCACGAAGCTGCCCATGGAAAGCCCCTCAGCAAAGCTGACCTGGTTATATGAGGGGGGAGTGTTCTAGAATCAGGGCCAGCAAACCTTTCCTGGAAGGGGCCAGAGTGAATATTTCAGGCTTTGCAGAGCGATTACTCCGCTCTCACTGTTGCAGAAGGAGCCACGGACAGAAGTGAGTGTGACCACATCCCAGTAATATTTGTTTAAAAAAATGTGGGCTGGGGGCCAATGCGGCCTATGGGCCATAGTGTAGATTCCTTTCGTGGAGGTGAAGGTGTTTGGAGCCTGGGTTCAGATCCTGCCCCTGCCCCTCACTCACTCGGGCAAGATAATTTTATCGTGTGTCCTTGTTCCCTTGGCGGCTCTCGGGGAGGACCCTTCCTAGCCTCCCTCCCGCTTCTGGTGGTGGCTGTCAGTCCCTGGGTCCTGAGTCTCTGCCTCTCTGGTCACATGGGCTTCTTCCCTGGGTCTCTGTGTGTCTGGGTCCAAGTTTCCTCTTCTTAGAAGGCCAGGAGTCACTGGGTTGGTGCCCACTCTAATCCAGGATGACCCCTTCTTAACTTGACTACATCTACAAAGACCCCATTTCCAAATGAGGTCACGGTCACAGGTGTGGGCATTGAGACTCGAAGTTTCTGCCTCCGGGTTGTTAGGACGAAGGGTTCGGCCCCCAAAGCCTCAGTGCTGTCTGGACCCCTGAGGGCACTTACCAGTGTCCTCGGTCAAGTCATCATCAACTTGCTCGCCTTGCAGCCAAGGGTAATGACTTGTCTGAAAGCACACAGCCGGGATGCTGACCCCAGGCTGGTCCCCCCTCACCCTCCCACCTCCCACCCTATGGCCGGGTTTGCCCTTAACGGTGCCCCACCCAGGCACGGCTACGCCCGCTGGCAGGACATCCAGAATGACCCGAGATACATGATCCTCAACGAGCCCTTCAAGTCTGAGATCCACAAGGGTAACTACTTGGAGATGAAGAACAAGTTTCTGGCCCGCAGGTTCAAGGTCAGTCCCTGAAGGCCAGAGCCTGCAGGGGTGGGGCTCCTGCAAGAAGGCAGATTACACAGGGGGCCGGGGGCAAGGCAGTTACCCAAGAGTGGCCCCCTCCTCACGTATCTGGACGTAGTAGTCAGTCATGTAGTCAGTCAGCTAACAGCGTGTTGGGTCCTTGATCTGGGCCAGGCCCCGCTGGGCAAGTCTCCCTGCCCTGGGTGATGGTGTGGAGGACCCAGATTGGTGAGAGCTCTGAGGGGGGTAGGGGCCAAGAGCAGACAAGGGTGGGCATATGGGTGGAAGTGTGTCCTCCCTCCTTCCTTTCTGCCAGATCCCGGGCCTGTGGGGGTGGGTGCTGGCGGAGGAGGGGCCAGGTTGGCGCTCAGTCCCTCCTGCCCCATCCCCCAGCTGCTGGAACAGGCGCTGGTCATCGAGGAGCAGCTCCGGAGGGCCGCATACCTTAACATGACCCAGGACCCCAACCACCCCGCCATGGCCCTCAACGCCCGCTTGGCTGAGGTGGAGTGCCTTGCTGAGAGCCACCAGCACCTGTCCAAGGAGTCCCTTGCCGGGAACAAGCCGGCCAATGCCGTCCTGCACAAGGGTGAGCGAGCCTGCCTGCCTTCCGCCTGCCCCGTGGATCCTTGGCCATTGATGAGGCCGCTGATGGGGCAGGGGTCAGCCTGGCCTCCTGGCCAGGATGGGACAGTCCAGCATCCAGTCCAGGGAAAGTAAGGCCCTCCCTTCTCTGGACTTCTTCTCAAGGTCTGCTCCCTGTAGGCCCTGGTCTGGGGGTTGGTAACACAGAAGTCTATTCGACTTACACACTCTTGCTTATCAAGCCCTGACAATACGCTTTAAACACACGGCATCTCTTTAATGCTCCTAATATCCTTAAGTGATAAGGTTTATTACCCCATTTTAAAAGACAGGGACATTGATGCCCAGGGTAGTGAAGTAATTGCCCAAGATCTCCCGGGATTCAGACCTTTGACTCCTGTGCTCCAGGTCTTCAGGAAGCTCCCAGGCTGGTTAGAGCGATGGTTGGAGGGGGGGGAGCCAAGGCCAAGCGCACACGAGAGCCCTGGACTTGCTGGACCCTGCTGTGTTTGGGAGATGTCTCCTGAGATAGCCATGGGCCAGGGCTGCAGGCCTCCCTGGGAGCCGGGGGGTGGGGGTGGGTGTTGACAGAGGGCCTGGCGGAAGTCCAGAGTTTCTGGCTCTCCCCTTGGCAGCCCTCAGGTCCCTGGAGAAAACTGCTGTTCGCCCAGGTGGCGTGTCTCTGCTTTGTGGGCCTGGAGGGCCGGGCGAGGCGCGCCCTCTGTGCCCGCGGCCTGGGGAGTGTGATCACACACTTGTAGATAAGCACCAGCCCGCTGGTCGTCAGCGGCGCCTCGGCGTCCCCCCTTCCCTCCCGTAGTCCTGAACCAGCTGGAGGAGCTGCTGAGTGACATGAAGGCGGATGTGACGCGCCTGCCCTCCATGCTGTCCCGCATCCCCCCGGTGGCTGCCCGCCTCCAGATGTCGGAGCGCAGCATCCTGAGCCGCCTGACCAACCGAGCCGGTGACCCCACCATCCAGCAGGTCAGGTTCTGCCCGCGCGCCCTGGGCTGGGTCCCCGTCATGCAAGCCCTGGGCGCCCCTGGGTTGGGGCTTGGGTTGAGGGGTGTGGGACTACGACCTTTAAACCTGGGTCCTTGCCTCCAGGGCGCTTTCGGCAACTCCCAGATGTACAACAACAACTTTGGGCCCAACTTCCGGGGCCCTGGACCGGGAGGGATTGTCAACTACAACCAGATGCCCCTGGGGCCCTATGTGACCGGTAGGTGCCCGCCGCTTCTGGGCAGCACGTGCAGGGGCGCCCCTCGGGGGCCCGGCCTGCCCGCCACCAGCCCAGGCAAGCCGAGCTTCTCTCTCTCACAGATATCTAGCTGTCCCCGCGATTTCCCTCTGTTGCAGTGCTCATTTCCAGCTGAGGTAAGCCTGCATCTGCACGCCCCATGGTCCCTCGTCCCCCTCCTCGGGTTGGCGAGTCAGGCCTGGCCAGGTTCAGCCCCGATTCCGTTGGGCGTGCCTCCCGCGTGTCAGTGAGCACGCGTGTCCACAGCGTGAGTCAGCCCCAAACCCACTCTGCACGGGTCTGCCTCCGCTGCCCACCGGGGTGGTGGGCGCCCCAGGACATCGGCTCCCTGCCCAGGGCAAGGAGGGTAGCTCGGGGCCGGAGCAGGTAAGGGTTAATGGCTAGGAGAGGGGAGCTTACTTTCGAAAAACCACCAGTTCACCCTGGCCTCCTCTCCCTGGGCCCCCCAAGCCCTGCGCATCCTCGTAAGAACTGCCACTTCGGGTGGAGGCGCTGGGGGTTTCCAGACCGCCCGCCCCCTCAGAACGCTCTCTTCCCAGGGCCTCTCTGGCCCTCCAAGGGTGGCAGTGAGGTCTTGGCTCGGGAGCTCCTTCTGGGAGGAGTGGTGGGACGGGTGGTGGGTGCCCCCCTCTAACGAAGACCTGGCTGCTCAGCGGGGTGACCGTGATCGACCTCTTGTAGCCGCGCCTGCCGGGCCACCTGCCCAACCCCCACAGGAGAGAAAAGCTGCCGCCTTTTTAGGAGCCATGCCATCTTGGGACGGAAAGGGAAACTGAATAATGCCATCGCATGGGGGACGAGGCCCAGCCTGGCTGGGCTGGAGCCCAGAAGTGCCACCTCCTCATCATGCCAGTGTCCCACCCAGCGTCACACCCACCCCACACCGGGACGTACCCCTTGGCCACCTTTGCCGGACAACTTCTTAGAGGAGATTTCATTTATTTGTACATCTTTTGCACTTTCCTATTGAAGACTTGAACGAGTCTGTCTTGATATAAAAGTTGAGTGACGTATGGAGGGGTCTAACCTGCAGCACTCACGTCTCTCTGTCAACGGGCTCCAGACTTCAAAGGAAGATCCTAGAAACGCTGCTGCTGGCCCAGGGGACTTGGCCCGCCTGGGGAGCCCTCTGTGTGCCCCCGCCCACCCCATCCCGTCCGTGTGGCCTGACTGCCCGTGTTCTGGCCCCCCTGCCCCTCGGGGGTCCCCAGGGCTGGATGGGTCAGGAGTGGGGAGTGGCTGCCCAGCCCCCAGGGTAGAGACCTCAGCTGGTGCCCGGGGCTGGGGCTCTCTTCCACCCCCTTCTTGCCGGGGCTGGAGACCACCAGGTATGTGCTATCTCGGTGGGGGAGGGGAGCCTGTCAGCAGGTGTCTGTCCCTGGCCCAGCACGTCTTGCAGGCCCTGGACTCTGTTAGCAGAGCGGATGGCTGTCATGCTGCGTGGCCACATGCAGCCTGTGCTCCCGGGAGGAGGGGAGGCGCGGAGCCCACGCACGTAGCCTAAGGGCTGTGAGAGCCTGTCTCGGCCTCTGCGGGAAGGGGCTTGCCCTCTGTTGCGGTGTGGTTAGCGTCCTAGCAGGGCAGGTCACTGTGGCACTGAGGGTGGCCCCGGAGACCCTGGTCCTGCCCTGTGCCCTGGGAGGCCCATCACATCCCCCTCTAGGTACACACTCCCCGTTCAGTCTCATGGCCACGGATGCAAAGAAGCTGGGCCACCCCTTGGCGCCCGGACTTATCCCTGTCCTCCTGTCCCTGGAGAGGCCCCTGCTGTGTTGTTGGAGGGCCTGGGGAAAGCTGGGCTTGGAGGTGGGGGGCTGGACCTGATGGCTGTCCAGCCCTCTGAGCTGGAGCCTCCAGGCTTCCTGCCTCGTCTTCTCTGGGGAACCCCCACTGGCCCCCCTCCTGCACTCAGCCGGTGGTCTCCCATGAGGGCCCCGCTGGTGGGGAGGGGCCAGACCCTGGGCTTGTCTGTGTCCTATGCTTCCTCTGCCTGGCTCAGCCTGGAAGGGTTTTCCCAGCCTTGGGCAAGGGGCTTCCTGGGGAAGTGTCCTGGCTATAGAATCCAGGAGGGGCCAAGATTTGGGGGTCTGTCTGGGGGCCTCTTGGGCAATCAGCCAGCCCTCATGGGGTCCCGGGTGCTCTCTGTAAATGGCTGTGAACCCCTTGAGGGCTGGACCCCAAAGCCTTTTCCATCTTGGTGTCCCCTCACTTCAGTCTCAGAACCTCCCAGGCCGAGTCGGCCCCGGCACCGCGGGGGGGGGGGGCGGGGGGCGCGGTGGTGAGCACTCTGAAGGCGGCACCCAGCTTTCCAGGACGTGCATGCTGCAGCGCTGCCCTCGCCTTCTGAGAAGGGCAGGGTCGCCCCAGTCCGCTGGGGTTCCTGTGGGTGCCGCGCGCACAGCCTCCTGGCTCAGGCCTCTGGCGAGGTGACCACATGAGCCCCCTCCCAACCCTCCCAACCCAGAGCCCTGTGACACTCCCTCCCAGACCCCCGGTCAGCCCTGGGGCTGGCCTCATTGGGCACAGTGCTGGCCCCCCACCTCGGCCACAGTGGGTGGGTCTTGAGTGCCCAGCCAGGAGGCCCACGGTGGTGGCAGGGCAGGGGCCCGCATCTCCACTGCCTTGCCCCAAGGGCTGGTGGTCCCCCTGCTGTCAGTCCTTCCTCCCCAGAAAGCCTCCCGCTGTCGCCCCATCTTTGCTTCCATGCCGGGCCTCCCCCTCCTCTACTGGGCCGGATCTGGGTGTGTGCAATGGCCAGGTCTGGGAAGGGCTCAGCTCTCCACGACCAGCACCTGGAGGCCCGGGAGGGGGGCTTCGGGCAGTTGGGGAGGGGGTTTCTGGTCGGCTGGTTTGGGAGAGGAAAATGGATCTCAGACTGTTTTCTTCTTAGTTTATCAGTTACCTCCTGCCGCGAGTGGTGGCAGGGGAGAGGGGCGTCCACGGTCTTTGGCATCTCCCGGCTGGGTTTGGTTTTTGCTGCTGACAGAATGAGGGGCTTTGTGTACAAGCAGAATCCTACAGCGTCAGCCCGCATTTTTGTTTCCAGCCACCCTATTATTTAAACCAGTGCTGAGTAGGCTTTCTGTCGAACCACCTTTGGGCCTCAGTTTCAGAACGCATTGCCTGCTGGGCTCCCAGGTGACGAGAGGCTCATGGGCTGGACCATGTCCGGAGGGCCCCGCTCTCGCACATACTGCCCCGCAAGTGCAGTCCTGTGAGGAGACCCTCTCTGCAAGCCCCCTTCAGAAGCTCCTTGGCTTCCTGCAAGTTACGACCAAGGTCCTGCTGATACCCACACCTGGTGCAGGTGCCTGCCCTCCTGCTCTCCGGGCGTCCCTTTCCAGGGTCCTCTGGGGCCTCCCCAGCCCGGACTGGCTGGTCGAGTCTTGCCCCAGTGACCCTGTAGCTCTTGCTCCCAAGTGTCGGGTCCCAGGGCTCTTGAGGGCCTGAGAGGGTCATGGAGAGGGTGGGCTCAGGGACAGGAGTGCCTCCAGAGCTTGGGCAGGGGGCGGGGCTTGGTGGGGAGGCGGGGCTGTGAGGCCTTGGCCTGGCCACTGCCTCCGGTCCCCCGCCGCGCCTGCGGCTGTCCCGTGCCCGCTGTGGTCTCCAGCGAAGAAGCTGGCTCCCGCCCCATTTTCTATTTCCGCAAGTTTACAGGTCGTGGTGCATCAGCCCAAAGTCATTGGCGTTGTGTTTTGGGTTTTTTTCTTAGTTTTCAGATTTTTTTTAAACAAAAGTATTTTTTTAGGTGCGATAACCCAGAAAGGGCCCGTTGGGTGTGTGTGTGTGTCCTGAACCCCTGACGTGGAGCTGGGGGCCCCCAGCCCCCCTCAGCTCCGGTGTGCTGGAGGTGAGGGAAGGGTCTTGCCCCCTGTGCGTTGGAGCGTGGGGGGGGAGTGAGGGAGCAGACCCCCACCCAGGTTGGCATCTGGCCCAGCGAAGGGGGCCGGGCCCCTGGCCCTGGGTACAGCCCCAGGCCCGCAAAGGGGCCAGGGGCTTTTGGGGTGAGTTGGGAGGGTCCCAGCTGGGAGGGTCCTGGCCAGGGGGCTGGAGCCAGAAGCTGAGCCCCCGGGAGTGGCGACCCGTCCCGTCCTTGGCAGGACACGTGGGCGGCTGGACAGGGACTGCAGCCAACACAATCCCCTTTACTTTGTACTCTGTGTGTGTCTTGGTTTTCTGTGTTTTAATAAATCCTTTGGGAAAGGATTCAATCAAAGTGTTTCCTAATTCTCACTCATCTAGGATGGGGGTGGGAGCTAGAGACGGGGGAGGCCTGTGGGGGGTGTCATCTGAAGCTGCCTCCCACCTGAGAAAACATGGCCTCATGAGGCTGAGGGGCTTGCTGGGAAAGGGGGGCCCCACGAGGGCGTGGTGCCTGTCTCTCCCACCTGCACCCCTAAGTGCAAACACAACATGGTATCAGAGAAACCCTGAGCGCCCAGTGGCACCCGGGGGCCTCCCTGGGCCCTGATCTCACTGCACTCAACACAGTAGCTCCCAGCAACAGAGAACGTGTGTGTGCAGGGTAGTGGGGGGGCACCTTATCCCTGAATCACTTGGGCGGTGGCAGGCCTCAGAGTCCCCAGTCTCAGCACCCCCTGCCCCCCGCCCAGGGCCCTTTTTCCCAACTGGACCCTTTGCCCCAGGGTCAGGATTTCAGGGGGGCCCAGTCTGCCAGCCCCTGCAGGTGGCAGCCTATCCCCACTCCGCCTCCCCACTGCCCATGGCCCCTGGAGGCGAGAGGAGCAGAAAGCCGCAGACCCCCGACAGGCTGGGGTTTTATTTGTCATTCCATAAATACGGTGGCTGTACCTCGGCCGGGTGTCGTCTGCGAGCACAAGGCGTAAGGCCGTCTTTGCCTACGGTAGGGAATGCACTTAGCTGAGGAATCACAGTCGTTAAAAAAAGGGGAGAGGAGAAAAGCGCATTATTTACACGACAGAAGAGGACAGAAGATGGAGTAAGCCCCTCTGTTGTTCCTCAGGACCTCGGACGCGCACGGGGTTTGGGATGAGAAATGGTGGGGGCTCCGCGCGTCAGCAAGGGAGACCGAGCCCAGCCCTGCCCTCAGCCTGGGCCTCCGTCCTGTGTGGGGTGCTCCCCAGGGGCCCCTTCGGGCAAACTCTGCCTCAAGGGGAGGGCTGGAGTCTGGCGGGCGGGCAGCTGGGGCTCCTGGGGAGCGGTCTCTCCCGGTGGGGCCTGGACCACTCCAGGGCCTGCCTCTGCCCGGCCTTCTGTCTCCAGACTCTGGCTGCCCTTGGGCCCCACCTGACCCCCTCCCCCACACCAGCCCCCTTCTAAGTCGGGGGCCCTCCCCCAGGAAGCAGAGCCCTGTCATCCCTGCCAGTGGCTGTGGGAAAGAGAGGACACCTCAGAACCGGGTTGTGGACGGCGCCCCGGGGGCCAGGAAGCTGCTTGGGTCCTGGCAGTGGGCATTTCGGCCTTGGCCCGGCTCCACTCTGAGGGCCCTCCCCTCCCTCTGGCAAACCTGGGGTCTTCCCAGGTGTGGCTCCTGGTGAGGGGGGCAGCGGCTGCTCCCTCGGGCCCCATCGCAAGCCCTGGTCCATCCTCCGGCAGTGGGCAGGCTGGGGGCAGCAGTGTGAAGGGGGCCCAGCCGCTCTCCCCAGTGAGGGGTGGGCAATCCAGTCCCTCGGTACCGCCGGGGCTGCCTGGCCTGGAGCACCAGGTCCCTGCCCATCCCATGCGGTGGTGGGAGTGGCCACAGGTGGAGGGGGGGCCCTGCGGGGACAGGCTCGCCCCCCCCACACCCACACTGTGCAGATGACCCCCAGGGGCCTGGTCGGGGAGGAGGAGGGAGGGTTCTAGACTCCAGGGTCAGCATAAATGTCGGGAATGGAAGTTGTCCACCCCCTCCCCCGCCTCCCCCCTTGCGTGTGTGGCTTTCCCAGGCCTCGGCCCAGCCAGGACGGGCCAGCAGGCCTTCTGAGAATGGCAGGGAGGAGCCCCTCCAACAACAGCTTGTCTGAAGGGCAAAGCCCGGCTGTGCCCTGCTGTAGTGAGGGTGGGGTGAGGCTGTGGGGGGTGTCGGGGTGGGGGCTGCCCTGACTGGGGGCACACAGCTGTCCTACAGCGTGGGCTCTGGCCCGGCCCCCACATAGCCAGCAGAGGCCAAAACCTCAGGACAGTGGGGGCCGGGACTCCTGGCCGCAGGCCCCCTCCCCTCCTCCATCTTCCTAGCCTGGGGCAGGTGCACGGCAGGGAATGACTAACTCCAGCCATCCTGACCTCTTCCCAGGCTGTGTGTAGAGGTCCGGGGGTGGTACTGCTGCTTGTCTGCCCAGAGAAGAAGCTCTGGGGACCCAGACTTAGCACCCTAACACAGGGGTCCTCACCCCGACCGGATCGGAGGCCTTCAAGAAGGCACTGCTCCAGGGAGAGGCTCCTGGGGGCTTTTCCTCGATTGTGGGGGCTCCTGCTAGATGTTCAGGCCCTCCAGCCCCTGGGCGTGCAGCACAGAAAGCCCCAGGGACCCGCCCTCCCTGGAGGGCCTAAGGGTGGTCTCTCTGCAGATCCGAGGCCACTACCCAGGCAGAGCAGAGGTGTGTTCCCTGCACGTGGTCGGCAGCCAGTCGAGCTACGTATGGGCGACCTCAGGGCCTTCTGCGGCCAGGACAGAGGGGCGGTGGACAAAGCACCTGGTCAGGAGGGCAGGTGGGGGCCTGGAGGGACCTGGGCTGGAGCCTGCTCCTCAGGCCCCTTCCCAGCGCTCAGGGCTGCACTGGGCAAGGGGCTCATCAACTGTGTGTAGGGAGGAAGTTGGCAGGGCTATGAGCTCGGTTAGAGCCCCGAACTTCCTGTGGGCCCCACTTGATAGTGAATCCTCCTGGATCGCGGCCCCTGCCAGCAAGGGGGGTGGAGTGGGGGTCAAGGGACAGCTCAGAAGGCCCCTGAGAGACCTGTGGGGGCAGGTGGTGGTGCTGAAGAGGGTGCAGAATGAATCTGGAGTCAGGCCCATCGTAAAATGCTGGGAGCCCTTTGCAAGAGGGAGGGTGTGGGGGACTCCCAGCGGAGGCGGCCACGGGAAGAGCCAGGCCTGGTTTCCTCTTTCCCACCCCTGACACCAGGTGGGGGTCCTCAGCAGAGGAGAGGCTAGCCCTGCTGCCCCCAGGACCCAACTGGGTCTCGGCCTGGCCTGGACTGGAGGCGTCTCTGGGAAGGGCCGAGGCCGGGAGCAGCCGTGGGGCTTTCTTCCTGGAGGGCGAGCAGAGGCTGCAGGTGGGCTCAGACGGGACGCCTCCAACATCCTGCCCCGTCAACGCGGTCTCCCGGGCACAGATCTGAGTTCGGTCCCGCGAAGCAGCGAATGGGGTCTTGCGGCAACTTTTGAGATCTCTTCCCCGACGACATCTCGCTGTGATGTTTTCTTTTTGATGCAAACCACACCCCTGACACGGTTTCAAAACAGCTTAAGCGAGCGAACAAGAGGGACTAGGAGGGAAACGGAAAGTGTCCGGGCAAGCGGCCGGGGGCTTCTTAGGATCTGTAGTCCTTTTTGCTGTAGGGTTTATTGCCCAAAATACTATCAACCTCATGGATAATGGAAGACGACAGTTTCGGAAGGACCTGTGTGTGAGGACAAGAGCTAATCAGAATCCCACCAACAAGACTGGCCTGGCCTTCGGAGGAGGCTGGGTGACCATCTTCCAGACACCACTGGCCTGTCCTGCCTCATCACATCACGCTTGTAGCCGGAGCATCGGCTGGCTATGCTGCTTCTGTGTTCCAGAAGGTCTGGGGCAGAGAGGAAACCTGCTTGGGGTTTAGCTCTGCGCCTCAAGCTCCAGAATGCTCTAGAACCATCTAGAAGGCACAAAATACAGATTCCAGGGCCAGACACCCCTTCCTGAACACCCAGGATCCAACCCTCTCTGAGGGGGTCTGCTGTCACTTCCCCGCGGATCTCCCTGCACCCCCTCCGGTTCCCTAAAGACTTTCCTCCGCTCAGCAGCCGGGGAGAGAGGGATCCTTTTAAAATGTAGGTGGGGATCGGGCCCCTCCTCAGCTCTCGGGGGCTCCTGTCTCACTCAACAACCACCAAAGTCCCTAATGTCCCAGGCACTGCCCCGCCCCCTCTGCTCCAGGCCACGCCCACTGGTACCACCTGTGTCCCCTCTGCTCCTGGACGGGTGTCCTCCAGGTGTCTGCAGGTCCCATGCCGCACCTCCGGAGACTTTGCTCACTTGTTACTTACTCAACAAGCCTACCCCATGAGCCCCCTCAGCCTGGGCCCACGGCGCCGCCTCCCTTGTG